TTTTTTTTTAATAAAATAGCATGTGTTGTTATGCGCTTTTGAAGTAGCTAATCACAGGAACGGCGACCAGCGGTTACAAACCCTTATTCAAGACACCTTTAAAAAATTATCTTTATCTTCATCATTTCTTTATAAAAAATTTGTTAATTCTCCTTTTCAGAGGTCACTTGTCGCGATGAGGACTCCATCCAGTACTTCGAGGGTGCCACGTGGTCTGTTGGCAATTGTATTAAGTGCAGCTGCACTCACGGCAAGATTCGCTGCACAAGGAAGCTCTTACTAGTTTCATTTCTCCAGCTTGGAATGAAAAAGCCAACTGTTATCAACAACGAACCGAATTTCAGTGAAAACTGCGAACAATTTGAATGTAACGTGGCTAATTTTATGAAGAAAAACCACGGAGTTTGTAAAGGTTAGTTTGTAACTCTTGGTAATACAATTTTACCTCTTTTTTCGAGATATGTTTCTTGGAGGATACGACTGAGTTATATTGATGTGCATTTTTAAATATGCACTTTATGGATAATATCTGTTCTCACTGAAAGGGTAACATTTCCTTTTAATAATTTTGTTATTTTGGTCATCCCTCCAGACGAGGATTGTTTTCACATTTCAGGCGAAATTTCGAATCGTTCTCCGGCTCTTCGCTATCGACATCATTATCTCTTGTTTTGATTTTGTTTCTGTTTTGATTTCTGGTTTTGTTGTTGTTTTTTTTAATTGTTTTCTTCGTCCCCCTCAGCATGCAGGTGGAACGGAAAATTGTATTACGATGGTGATCATTGGGCGCAAAATGGCGTTGACTTTTACTGCAGCAGCTCTATTTTGCAAGTCAGGCCTGGGTGTTACGTTTCTAACAGTAAAGCGACCTGTACTGGAGCGATACCAGGTGCGGCTCTATTCGATTCAAACTTGCTCTCAACCTTATTCCACTGAATTAGAACCTAAAGTACTAGGAAAGCGACACGACATAGATTCAGGTCTCTAACGGGGCGCCCGACTAAACATTTCCTCCATTCTCCTGTACCCTCAACTTAATGAGTGGAACCCTGATTTTTTTTTCTGTATGCCATCTGCTCACAGGGTTACGAGAGCTGTCCTTGATATCAAAAGACGACCTTTTCCTGTGCGAGAGTGGGGACGAGATACGATCCCTTGGGGACAGGTGTGATGTCTGGAAAGATTGCGCCGATCACTCAGACGAACGAAACTGCAATCAGTGTGAGTTTCTGAAAATTAACTTTGGTATATTTGTGAAATACTTCTAAATTGTTTTTGCATGGAATTTAAAGTAAAAGCAGCGAAAAACAAGGGAGACATGAAAGAAGGAATTACGTCTATGAACAACGTGACATTTTGGAAAGAGGTAGAAATTATGTAATCAAAAGAGATAAAATGACCAAAAACTCAATCGAAGAATAGATGATCGAAAAAGGCATAAAAGTAAAATAGGCGGTAGCGAAATGTGAATTAAATGGTACCGTGTCTTAAGGGATTTGATGAAAAAACGGAGTTTAAAATATTATCTTGCGTGCTAATTTTGCGAACGAAATTGTATTTAACTCCTTTGTTAATAAACAGACTGCTTCCCTTATTTTCTTAATGATCACTACTATCTATTTTCAGACTATTGCGCTACTGAAGAATCACATGGTTTTCTTTGGGTGAGAGCTCAAGTCGGAAGTGAAACTCTTAAATCATGTGCCGTAGCAAATTCATCCTGGGCAGGTAATATCAGATTCATCTTAAAACGTTACTTATAACCAGCTCAAATAAGTTTTCCAATACTAAAGACTAAAATCGGACACCTGTGTTTACAATCAGACACTAGTGTCAAAAGCCGACGTTAGTATATAGGCGATGCGTATCTCATCGTAACCTCATTGTCTGAAGAAGACTAGCAGTATGCAGTCGAAACGTTGCGATCCACATGTATACGAAGTGACCACATCGCTAGACAAACGATTATACTTCTCTTTTTAAATATATTATTTCTTCTCTGAGGAATATCAGCAGGTCGCAATCTTAAATCCTTGAACCTGATTGGCTAATCGTATGCTCATGACTGGTCCAGTTTTATGCAGAACGCACAACGGTCCAGACTTTTATCCGGGTCATTCGTCGCAAATGAGTAAAAAGTGACACCAGCAGAAAATAATAAAAAAGTTATTGACCGGTCTAGGTTCGTCTGTAGTTGGGAAAGCTGTGCCCTAGATCAGTTGAGTACGGCCCTCTCCCTTTCGCCGCAGGCCTTACTTAAGACCTTGGGGCACAGTTCGCTACCATATGGATCTACTGCCCCGTCAATAACATATATATGTGTTCAATCTGTACTGTAATTAAATAGGGATATTCGGAAGCAAATGTATGATGCCTTATTACACTGTATGGCAACACCTGAGCACCTGTACTTGTGAAAGAAAATCCACGTTGGAGAGTTTTAGGAACAAGGTAAGTTCCATTATGCCTTCCGGATGCAAATAGGGCTAGCAGTGAAATTTCTATATCTTTTAGGTTATTTTTGATGATATCCATGCTTCTGTTTAGGGTTATTGTCCAGTTCTACTATTTATGTAAAGTCAATAGAGTGACTATCAAAGTTCTGGGCTCCAGATCGAAGGATACGAGAGTATTGCGTTTTGAGGCAAGAAAATTGATTCTATAGGTACCTCTCTCCACTCAGCAATGTGTATGGCTGCTACGTTACTGGCAGTGAAGCCTGAAAAAATGTGAGGGGAAGAGCTAACTTGACCTTCCATAAACTGATTGCAACATCCCATTCATGGGGGAGTAGCTGTACTCTGAGTCGTTTCATGAAAAAGAAATGAGATTTGTTAAGAAGCTCTGTGGAACGTGGAAAAATCGTTATGTGAACGAGATACGCCAATTCAAAGAAGATTATGTGAATTCTTCTAAATTATCTTTTTCAAATAGTCATTACCTACGAGCTCTTAGACTTACCTGTAAAATGCTTCTCCACTTTAGTTCGCAAATCGCAATGATTCAAACTTCCTCAATGTGTCAAACGATCTGGCTACCGCTGCAGAGAACGGGGAATTCACGAATATCAGGGTGTTTCATGAGCTGTTCATAGATTTGTTTTACAACGTAACACGGTCACTTACACCACTCACTGTGCAAAATGCTGGTAAAGCGCTGCAATATTGTCAGGTACGAACTTCAAGAAGATCCATTGTTAAGAGAAATACTTGTTCTCATTGGCCAGTTTAAAAGTTTAAAATCTAATAAAGCACAAAATAGGGATATATCATTGGCTATTTAAAATGTCATCAATGGGAACGTAAAAATTGAAATAAAGTTCAGATGATGCGAGAATGTGAGTAGAAACATGGCCGCCAATATGGCCACCATTGAGTTGTTTTGGTGAATGAAAAGATATTACCATCGTGATGTCATGTGAAATCATGCTTTAAATAGAATTTTGCAGAGGAGTATGAAGAAATTAATCATTTGGTCCTGTTTTCAGCATTTCATCAAAACTCTTCTATCATCTCCGATTTACGAGCGAAAAACATCATTTTGTGGACGACCGAAATTGGTAAGCAACAACTACTGTGATCTTGGTTCAAAAGAAACAATTTGAGCTTCAGAGAGGAAACTCGTGATTGAAATGAACTGTTATAATTGTTTTTGTTGTTTTCTTTTCGCAGAAAGTGGGCTGGTTCTGATTGATTCAAAGTATTTATTATTAATTAGCAGTGCGACCTGCCTATGAAATTATGATTAATAATCGAAGTGTTTTCGATTAACCATCACGAAACCACGACCAACAAAATATCTACGCTAACTCAGAATGAAGTACACTTTGGGAAAACATAAGCCAGATCTCATGCGCGGCAAACTTTAGTTTCCAGGCTACGCTGGCTTTCAGTATTACATCTAATTGGTTGAGAGGGGGGGTGCAGCAGTGTTCTTTTTTTTAAACCAATCACCAAGCGTAATGAGGTGAGATCGTTGCATGAGTGATTTTCCACAGTTGATTGATTAAAATTTTATTTTAAAGTAATAAATTCATGTTACCTGAATGTAAAAGTGTAATATTTGTTTCCCATAGCCTTCTGATCGAAACTATCATGTCGATAAGGCATTAGAGTTTCTCCGTCAGGCTCCCAATGATACCGAAGCCTACCGTTTTGGCCAGATAAGATTTTCTCCAGTCCGGGAATATACGTAAGTGACCATACCGTTTCTGATTTTAGCAGTATTGCCGGTGTTAATTGTCCCACCATCAATAAAACCATTGAACAAATAAATTCAAAAATCAAAGAGATAAAACAAGATGAATATTTAAATATTCTCGCAAAGATTCAGATCTGTGCGATGTTTTGTGCGAGAGATATTCAAAGAAAGGTTTCCTCAAATTTATAAGACTTTGTGAAGACACCATGTTGGTGTCTCTCTGAGGGACAAAAACATATGGTATCGAGTTTTGCTATAAATTAAAAAGCCTGTAATCGTCTTCTGAGTGCTCATAAACATCTAGATGGGTACTAATTCTCATGCAAGAACTGTTCAGATTGCGAAATCTCAGCAGATAAGTCACCTTTTTGACTTACGTGACAGTATGTTAATATCGTGTCACGCAAAAGCTTAGAAAGTTAACCTTGCTTTATCACAAGACAAAAGTCTTCAACTGTTCGATCAACTGACTAAACTAAAATTTCATTAGGACTGATAATTTTAATGACGTCACGTGAAAACCAAGAATACGGGACGCGTGTCACATGTGAACCTTATAATGGCTGTGCCCACCGTAGAGTCTCTGTGTCTCGGTGGTTGAGCGCAAAGGTGCAGAAACCGAAGGCCTGAGGCTCGATTTCTCGGACGCTTATCTCACTCTCGTGATCAGACGGGAAAACGTGTTTCTTTATGAAAGTATTGTTGTTTTCGAAAGGATCTTGTGTGGGCACGAGAAGTTAAATATACAAGTAGAACACCTCTATTTTCACCTTAGAGTCACCATATCGAACTTCAAAGTTAAAAATTCGAAGTGGATAATACTTATGCATTCTTCACCCCTAACAGTAGCCCTAAAATTGAACAAATAAAACTTTAAAGGTTGAGACAAAGCAGCTAAATTGTTAAACCTATGAAGCCTTTTCTATCGTGGAAGGGCGATATCACGCTAAGAGACTAACCCCCTCATATTTGCATGGTGTGTTCCTAAAGTGATGACTCTAACCTTATCTTTAAATCATTCCCAATTACGGAAAACCTGTATTCTTGAACTTGCATCCAGTGTGATCGTTCACACCCTTAGAAATTAAAGCAACAGTGATTTACATGCGTGACAGTACACCAAGGTGACCAAACACCTTGTTACTAAAAATACCTTTAGAGGTTTACATTTTTAGGAAGACATAAATAGGGGATTTCTATCCAGTCTCTTCGTTATCGCATCTTAATCTTCTTTTCAATTAATCTTACAGTACCCAGCCGAACGTCGTGGATAACTTCAGGCCAACCACGACGCAAGTTCACTTCGTAATACAGAGGCGAGAACTATTTCTTCAGTTAAACACAGCTCAGCTACTACCAAGAGAGGTAGAAAAACCTATCTCAGTACCTGTCGATAACAGGAACACCACTGGTAACATGTCAACGGCAAATACAACAAAAGCTAATAGCACTAGCGCTCCAGATGGAAACGTGGTAGGTCGTTGAAAATTGTTTAACTTAACTACCGTACACTATCAGCCCAATGGAACTTGCAAGTCTAGCCTAATTTTGGTTATTTACGATAAGAGAGAGTCTCAAAAATGCTCCGATTCCTAACTTTGTAGATCTTTGCGTGGANAAAAAAAAAAAGATCAGGCCTGTACGGGATTCGAACCACTGACCTCTGCGCCAAATGTTACTGAGCACAAATGGTACAGGCCCAGTGTCTGTTTCTTTCACTCTTTTTTATTACCTTATCTTAACAACTACTGCTGCCGTTTCTTTTATCCTCACCTTACAGCAAATTCACCCCGCTTCTCTGAATAACACAGGACTGCACGCTTATATTACTATACAATATCGGTAAGTATCTGTGGATATGCAGGCCCTGACCTTACGTGATTAATATCGTTTTTAAACACTTTCACTAGTACCTCAAAAATGGAAAACGACGTTGTCAATACGTTGGAAATAAAAAAACATTTTTTGACTAAGAAAGCCAGAACAGGACTTCCAGCGTAGGTCCAAGGTAAGGCCAGAATACAAACTAAGCACATCCTCTAATGAAATTTTTTGGTACATGAGGTTTACAAACGGTCAAAGACAATTCTTTAAAGCTAAAATCTGGATATAGTCACTCTAGAACTACAAAACAACCAGATAAAGATGGTCTACTGACTCTAAACGACTGCTGAAACCCAAATATCCTTCATGTTTCACAACACTTGCAATTATCACACAAGTTTATAGACTCACTCCTAAGCCAATGACAGAGCAGGGCCGATTGCATGAAAATTTGAGAAGAAATAACGACGAATGCTTACGATCAGTCCTTGCCTTCTTAGCTTGATTTGTTAAACGAACAAAAACGAAGTGCGTATAGGTTGCTCGTGGATGCAGTGAAATATGCGGCAAGCAGAGAACCATGGGACCTTGTCAGTGTTCTCTTAATACAGGTGCCCGTCTTGGGCACTGTTCTAGAACCTGCACCACAACACCAGGTTAAGTTCTTAAAGCGCTAACAATGTATCAATGCCTACTTGCATTCATCTGTTTTGAGCCTCTTTATGCTTGCGTAATTAAGCTCTGTTACGATGGTTACCACGAGCATTGGCCGTGAAAAAAAGATGCTTTTTTTAAGATAGAGTGAGTAAGCCTGATTTTCGGTCGCCTACTCGATTTTTCTTGAAGGTTCCCTTGCAATTAAAAGTAAGTTGCAATGCCGAAAACAATCCTTCTGACAATTTCAAAATGACAACAAAAGTAATGCAGTTATTATTAGCTAACTGTGCTGACAAACATAAAACATTCAAAAACTGAAGAAAGGCCTTTGAACTTATGCGTTAATGTGAGGCTTAGGACGTTTTGCAAAGGCTGGATTGTCAAAAGTACAGCCTTTCTTTCTCTCTTTTTCGAGATCACCCTGGACTGAAGAATGTCTCCCTTTAAAGAAGACAATGATGCAAACGATGCAAAAGATGCATACCAGGGTTTGCTTTTCGATGTTTTGCGGGCTTTACCTTTACCTTAACCTTGGACTTTACCTGCAATAAAAGATAATCGTTACAGGCTGAATCATACACTCATTTTGTTTGGTTCATTTTGTTTCTGCAATAAAAGATAATAGGTTGAATCATACACTCATTTTGTTTGGTTTTTACTGATGATCTATTGAAGGATGACATAGATGACGTCATCATTAACAACACTCTGCCTCTTAAACATATTTCAGCGATATAGATCGCACTTTCTATCAGTTTACCGGCGTAATAACCCTCTATTATTACATAATAACCCTCTATTATTACATAATAACCTCTATTATTACGTAATAACCCTCTATTATTACGTAATAACCCTCTATTATTACGTAATAACCCTCCTGGCTTTATTCTGTGAAGACTTGAATAGTTAGTAAAAACAAACGCGACAAACTCGACCTCGCCTCGTGTGCCACTTTTTGTTTTTACTACATTTTGACGTCATCTATTTGCTAACGAGATAAAATTGACAGTTGTCAATGAATTATCCAGAGGAATCTTTTTGGCCGTAGGATAAAACAGGTGAGTTTTCTTTTTCTGAATTTTCTATTTGCGAGAGATGTAAAAATCTGCGGGGCAGTCGCTATTTCATTTCCGTATAGGGTAACTCAAAAGTCAACTGTTACACATCTTGGCGATCTGTATATTATTTACCTGGTAAATGACTGAAGGTCTCTGACCGAAACGTTTTTGATTAAAATTTTTTATATTTTTTACGTCAGAAGTTGTCTATCCTCGCAATTTTTTAAACTTTCTACGTTCGTGTTGGCTGTGAGGTTTGGACTGCGAATCTTTATTGATCCTCCTGGCGCGGAGCACCTTTGTTGGCCTCAGTGAGAGTTCCATTAACGACTATATATATAAATGTGAGGGTAGAGTCTACCTTGGCATAAAGTGCTCAATGCTGTGTTAGCAGAGCTGGGTATACATTGGTTGAAGAATCAAAGTACTTGGTGCCATTAGTGCCTCACAGAGAAACTGTATCTAATTAGAGCTAAGAAGCCGTCTTTATTAAACAAAAGAACAGAACTTATTTCTAAATGCCGACACGAGAATAAATTTTACTTATCAAATCTCACAAGCCGCCAACAATAGCCCCAGTGAATATTTATTTATTTCATCGCACTAGCGTATTAATGATCTACTATATATTAGGAGGAATGTTCATTATTGAATAAAATTCTGTCTGACGAGCGCTTCGGCGGGAAACACAGAGTAACAGAGAATCGATGCGTCCTCTTTGATTCTTCAACTAATCCCAGCTCTACTAACACAACATTGGGAACTTTTTTATGCCAAGGTAGACTCTACCCTCACATTTATATATATATAAGTGTAGAACGTAGATATTCGTAAAACAGTGCTCAATACATTAATGTAGAGCGAAGTATATGTTCGGGGAGGAAAGAAACAAATAAACTACGCTTTCATTCCGACAAGCCTGTTTCGTGGTTGCCCACTCATCAGGGGATTTAATAAGAATATTCTTTACCATCACTTTTTATATACAAATTAATTTACATAATAACAATCTTCAAGGGGGGATGGGTTCTTGGTAGATTTGAAGCCGTTGGTTTCTTTGGAGCACGGTGTTGTGTCGGGGTCGAGAAAGAAGTGGGCTTTCCAGCGCATTCTGCGAAGAAATTGTTCGGTCTTTTCGATGAATCGTTGTAGGTAGTCGTTGCGTGGTGGTAGAGGAGTATTCTTCGTTGAGTAGCTGAGGTTGAATTTTTCCATTGTGAATTACCTTACAGTGCACGACAAGCCTAAACTTGGAGCGGGTATAGTGTAGAACGTAGATATTGGAGCGGGTATAGTACAGAACGTAGATATTGGTGCTGGTATAGTGTAGAACGTAGATATTGGAGCGGGTATAAAGTGTAGAACGTAGATATTCGTCAAACAGCGCTCAAGAGATTAATGTCGCGCTACTACTTTACTTCGCTCTACATTAATGTATTGAGCACTGTTTTACGAATATCTGCGTTCTACACTTTATTTATACTTTTTTTTGCCTTGAAAAGCGATTGGTTTTTTTCGTTTTTTTGTGTTGCTTGCTCATTGGCAGGGAAAATTATGCGATTTAGAGGAGAACATCGTGCGATTTGCGAACAAATGGCTCTGCTGAGAGCCAATCAGACTCCAAGGACCACCTGTGAGTTCATAATGGATGTATAACTCACTTTAACTTAACGTGTAAAGTTCTCTTTACCTTGCAGGAAGCTCGGTATTGTGTCATTCCTTAGACCTCGAAAAACAAGATACGACAGACGAACCAACTTCAGAAAGACCTAGTTCTCCTCTTGAATTTTTTTAGGATGGTCTTTGACGAAATGATTTTTGATTTCTTTAACAGACGCACGGTGCTGCGTACGCCGACATTCAATCAGCAGCTTGCTTGCTCAAATCGCAAAGTAATCTGCGCACGTTTCGATAAGTCCGATGTGTCCCTAACCCTAACATGAAGTAAAAAAGGAATTTAAAGTGGATTAAGATAATATTATGTATGGGCACATGATTGAAACCATTTAGCTATTGAAAGTTATGGAAGGAAATGTAAAATACATCCAAATAACAATACTGTTTATTTACTCTCGTGTGGTGCCAGGAGAGAACACTATAAATCTGACATTATGGTAATCAAAGTTCAGACAACATGAATGTACATACTCTCTAGTCAGAAACTATGGTTTAAATTAATAAACAAACAGACTGCAAGAGGAAAGAAGGGTCTCCTCTCCCAAGTTAATCCATTGTGCCATTTAAAGAAAACTGAAAAAAAAAAATTATAAGCGCGGGGCGCGCGGGAAAGAGAAACTACAGTCAAAGCCTTCGCGCGCGTACCATTCCAAGAGTTCCCGTAGTTGGTTTCCTTTGACTTACGCGTCGAATCGATTTGGGACACAGGAACTGCTCTTCGTCTTACAAAACACAAAACCCAAAGGTCTGTTTAAAAAAACGACTTTAATTCACTATCTAGGCATAGCGATGGATACAAGAATAGAGGACTTGATTCTATTTGTTCTCTTTCAGCCAATCCCAGAGTTTCGTTAACTCCTGCGAAGAACAAACATACGAGCAAATTATTTATTTGCAAATAAAAACGCATGTGGTATTGCGTACCAGTTTTGCATCAGTTTACTTAACCTTGTTACAGGTAAAACCAAAATTTAGGAAAAAAAGGTGACATCCTCACATTTTGCTTTATTCTAACGGATGCGTCAGTACTGTTATAAAACGCCCATTCATTGCATGAATGGTCGATTAGCTAATACCTTTACATGTGGGTAAGCTATCTGTGTTTACGCTGGCCTAAGCTCTGATAATTTGCTGTTTTCTAGCAGTCACTGTATTCATAAATGCTAAGCTGCAGAAAAAATAAGGGGGAGGGGTGGGTAAAATGAAAACCATAATCAATACATCCGCTCCATTGAAAAGACGCAAAGAAAGGCCTGTTTGCCACAGGAATTTGCTGAACTCTAAAACCTTAAAATCTAATTTTGAACTGAACTCTTAAACTCTTAAAATCTAATTTTGATGCCACTTCACAGCTCGGTAAGTCTACTGTGAATAGTTGTTGAATAAGTAGAGCATAAAGGGTAGGGAAAATTAGAGGGGGGGAGGGTAACTTTGACCCCATAAAGAGAGGTAATTCACAGATAAAAAAAAAAAAACAAAAACAAAACAACAGTCCGAGATGTTACTAGGCATGCCCACACTTTTTTAACACTCTGCAAGAACTTACAGCCTCATCTGTGACTTTGAATGAGTGCTTCAAATAGTTCTTGAACTTTTCCACTTTCTTTGGCAAATTAGGTGTCTACAGTTAAACAAATTAAACTATCAATAATCAGGGATTTCAATTGAAAAGAAGACTATCCCTGGAACACAATGTAAAGTTCAAGTGAAAATATGTTTGAAGACATGACAGGTTTGTCAAAAGAAATTTAAAAAAAAGAGCTATTTCTCCTTGTGTGACGAGCAAATTACGTTACTTAAGTAGGAATTCCAACACCCAATACACGTCTAATAGACCACTTTCATAAATGGCTGCCGGATTAATATTCTTTTGCTTAAATTTAAATTACCCCTACTGGCCTCGTTCTCTGGTACAAATTTCAAAAGAATACATCATCTCAAGCGAGGCCAGTAGGGCTAATTTAAATTTAAACAAAAGAATATTTATATGGCAGCCATTTATGAAAGTGGTCTATGATAAAATACTGAAACTGATAAACCCTTGAAATCCCAGAGGTGATTAACTTGTAACTTCTTCCTACCATATTCATACATATCCAATGAACAGGTGATGAGAAAACTTAAAGTTATCAGATAAAAGTTTTTATCTTGATCTAACACCAAATTCTCATGACTGATTTAGAAGGAAATTTGTAGCAACTGGAGGGGAGAATTAATAATCAAATCTTGAGAGTTCAGGAGAAAAAAAAAAAAAAAGAGAGGGTCAGTTAAAACTACAAAGCATTCAAAAGACAAGTTCAGAAATTCAAATAGGCGGTACCATAATTTCCGGCCTATTACCCGCATGGCAGATTACCTGGTAAGTGTTGGGTTACAGCTAAGGGTTCCAAAAAACACGACCAGTATTTTACTTTTGTGAAAGACAAACAATGAAATGCTTTCCACTTCACACATGAAACACCTTTTATGATTACAAAATCTCCTTACCTTGAGCAGCTTTTGCTTAAGTTGGTCCATGGATAGCTAAGGAAACACAATAGTTTTATCAGAGAGTGACATTGATCAACTTTTAATACATCTCCCCCCTTTCAAAAAATTATCAGACTGGAAAAGTAATTCTCTCGCAGTTTCAGGCCCAGCCCCACTCTACTTCATCTCTTCTTGACCAACCATATTTAAATATGAGATTGTGGTTGATGCAAATTAGGGGGGAGCATGGAGCGAGTGGGAACATCAGCTATACTGTCAACTATTGTAAATTTTGTTTTCTACTTGAAAAAATCAGTAGCCAACCATTCTTTGTGTTCAATTTGAGTGACTTAGTGTGTGTGTGTGTGTGTGTGTGTGTGTATTTGATGAAGATACCAAAATAAAGCAACTTTCTCAGTACTCCACTTTGTACAATTTCTTTGCTTTCTTTTAAAAAACTCTTTTTTCCCAAACATTTGGGTTTCCAAACTCAAGATGTGGCTTATCTGCAAGTACCCCTCATACACTGATGTTTATGTTAGTTTCCTCTATCCTTTATAAAGATGGATCATACCGGTTCAGGAGTTTTAGCTCCAGCCTTCTTCCCGTGATCTTTTTTCCCATCAGCCTTTGGTGTACTTGGCTATCATCAAAAGAAGAAAGAACAGATTAGCACAGGTGATTAAAGTGATTGAAGTACCAAAAAATAATTTTATAAACATATAAACCACAGTTGTTATAACAAAGGTTTCAAAATCTGTACAACTTTGGAGCAAGAGATTGTAGTTGTACAGTACATGTATATACAACCATGTAGTACCTCTTTAAAACCACCCGCAACAAAATATCTTAAAACAATGACACAGGCTGTAATTTCATGGTTGTTAGATAATTTCCTGTTTAAGGTTCAGTGCAATGCAGCGACTAATGGAACCATGATATTGTGACATAAGGTGAACTTTGACATGATCTGGACTGATCAAGTCCTGGAGCTGTTTTCTGAACACAAACCTGTTGAGCCAGAATCTTATTTTGCTTTTCTGTCTTATCCTTTTTGTCTGCTTTGGCTGTTCCCTACAAAAGCCAACACAAATTAATAACAAGACAGAAATTTCTCCTTACAATATAACGTAAGAACCAACAGATAAGCTGCACCCTGAATTTAACGGCTCAAATTTTGCAATGAGTTTTTCTAAGAAATCAAAAGAAATCCAAAGTCGAGTCTTGAGAAGTCTTCTTCAACCACTGTTCATCAAACGGAAATTCACTATTAAAAATTAATTGCCACAGAAAATACTTCAAAGTTTAATTTATATTAATAATAAACAATTTTAGCACTTTAATGTGATGAATGTTGTTTCTAACTTTGACATATGATTGATCTTTTTCTGGTATTTGTTGACAGGAATTTCTTCATTCAACACAGTTTTTCCCTAGATTTTTACATTACAATAGGAACATGAGTGGAACATTCAAAGCTTAGTAACCAGGCATTAGATTAGACATGAAACTGGAAAACTGGATTCATGACACCTCTTTCAAATGTTCCCCTGCTTAGCTGCAGGTTTTTATGGTAAATACAACATCAAGCAGACAAGTGATGAAAATTAAAAAAATATATATTCATTGGGGCATTTATAATAATAATAATAATAATAATAATAATAATAATAATAATAAGTTTAATTACTCTTTTTGTAGCTTACACCTAAATTACAAGAGTGGTCAGGATACAAATCATATCTATACAATAACATGAAACATTTTACTAAGAATATCTATATGTAATAAATTTGTCGAGACGGTTAGTGAAAGCCATAACCAAATCATCTCTAAGAGTGCCTGAGTGTAGATTGTATCCATGGGACACAGTTATGCGATGTGGCAGCAAGTTACCAAGGATACCAGTGTCCAGAACTCTCTGGAAAAACTTAGTTGAGCCAAAACCAAATTCATCAAACTCTTATCATAAGAATTATATGGCAGACAAAGAGGAGAGTTACTGGAGAGATCTTTGCAGTTAAAAAGGTTAAAATGAAGGCCCAAATCTCACATAACTACATGTGAACCTTCTAGATCCACTCTCTTCTGAAAAACTAAATAAAAAATAAATAAATAGATAAACACAATTTGCATTTCAACTTACATTTGTCATCGGTGGTTTTTTATTAGGTTTCCCTTCCATCTGTGATTGAAACAGTAATCATCAAAAGAAACTCTTATTAAAACTTCACCACAGTGTAAGACTAAATTTTGGCCAAAACTTCACACAAACTTGTACAATGTATGCACATACAGTGTTACAAGTTTAAATAATTTTTCAATAGACAGCTACCCATGGTGTAAGTGACTGTGCTGAAGACAAAATCCAAAAACAAGAACCTGCTCGCAAGCAACATGTAAATGTCAGTGGAGGATCACTACCTTGGGCTAACAGAGGGAGGGGAAGGGGGATAAGAGGGGGAGGGGGGCGAAGGGAGAGGGGGGAGAGCCTGGTTTTTTGTGTGTGTTCAACTGTTGCTTTTTTCTTCCTTCTGCATTAATTTTTTGCTTTTATCTTTTTAACAAAATAAGGGCCCCTCCCTAGATTCACCATTGCCGGTAAACAGAAAGTGGTGAGGTCTTACAGGTGATAGGACACTCCCAGTTACTGATTTTCATTGAAACCCCTGAGAGTGCACAAATTTGAATGACAAATAATTTTTTAATGTACTCTAGAAAGGAAAAGTAAGAGATGAAAGACCTTAACCGAAAAAAGGGAAATTCCCACCTTTTTCTTTGCTGCTAAGCTGGCAGCAATCTCATCCTCTTCCTCACTTTCATCTTCATCATCCTCGTCATCCTCATCAGATTCATCTTCCTCGTCATCTTCTTCATCATCATCATCATCACTCTCCTCTTCACTCTCTTCGTCATCCTCCTCACTTGTGCTCTTCATGGGTTTGGCGTCCTTACCTTCTGGTTTGTTTTTCTGTAAACAAAATTTTCATACTTCTTGGGTGTTGCCAGGCACAAAATAATCCGTTTCAATCCAATCCTCTTTAGTCTTAGTATGATAACCCCATCCAAATTGTATTGTTTCTCCGGTAGCAAACAGAAGTAAAAATTTACTGGTCAACAAAAGCTGTGAAAAGTTAACACGACTATAGAGGTGAAAAAACATGCGACAATTGATGGGAAATTGGTGCACCTTTTGCATTGTTAAATATGTCCAGAAATGCACACTGACAAAAATGAGAGATTTGATGAATTTGTCAAAATCATCAAATCCACTTAGCTGATTTTGCTTCAACTACTTTGACCAAAATTCTTTAAAATCATATATGAGACCTCTCACACGAAAATGTTCCTAACGGTAGCCGTTCGAACAGTGAACGGAACGGCAAGCAAAGGGGTGACGAACGGCTAGGAAAGCCATTCGAAACGGATACTGTGAACAGATGAATGGCTAATTAAAATTTTCGAACAGATGAACGGTTAGTGAAAATTTTCGAATGGATGAACAGCTAATTAAAATTTTCGAACGGATGAGGTTGAATGGATGAATGGCTAATTAAAATTTTCCAACGGATTAGGTTGAATGGATGAACAGCTAATGAAAATTATCGAAGGGATGAACGGCTAATTTTTCGAACACTGAGATGAGCCTCACAGATGAGATCGAATGGATAAACGGCTAAGCAGTCAAACAAGTGATCGCCTATAGAAATTATTTGAACAGATGGTTTCGTCAAAATGAATGCCGACACAGGTGTCCCAAGCTTTTGTCTTGAGCCAAAGCAAAGGATTATTTCATGAAAGCGTCATGCGTTGGGTGACGCAGTGCTAAGTTACGCGAGGTATTTGACATAATCTGTGAAAAGATCACTTGAAACGAGTCGAAACTCAGTCGTTTGAATAACTTGACTTCGCTTTTGGCGCATTCAAATGGATTATAATTAATATTTTTATTATTGAATCGGACCGATTAAGATAAGGTACAACCAAAGAACTTGCAAGCGAAAAGCTTATAATTCGATACTTCTCAACTTCAATATTCAGGTTTAAATTTCCATAATCCCAGCTTCCCTGTCAGTCCATAAAAAATTCATTGCCTTGGTAACTGCTTACAACTTGTGTCAAACATTGCCATTTCACACAATCACAAAATGGAGAGTTCAATAAGAGAAGATATGGATTGCGATCACACCGAAAATGTTTCTACCATTGTTGCCAAAGTGCCAATTGAATGGCTGATGAATTTTCTCGAATGGATAGCTCGAACCGTTCGAACGGATGATGAATATTCAAGAACCGATAGCTGGAGGCGTTCGAACGGATAATGAATATTCAAGAACGGATAGCTAGAGGCGTTCGAATGGATGATGAAGTTTCTTAAACGGATAGCTTGAATGGTTCGAACGGATGATGAATATTCAAGAAGGGATGGCCTGAAGCGTTCAAACGGCATGCCTATCCATTCGAACGGCTGACGAACGGCTATCCGTTTAAAAACAGCTAACCGTTCCGAACCTTTTCCCGTGAGAGTTCACATATTTTACCAAGTCAATTTCGCTATGACATACTTGGCCAAATTTCGTCAAGCTGATTTTACTTCAACAAATTTGACCAAAATTCACCTACATTGTCAAATCCATGAACATTCACTTTGTTTGACAAAATTTTGTCAAATCTGCCATTTTCGTTACTCTGTGCATTTCTGGAAACGGGTGCAGCATTTACTAACAATTGTACTACTACAATTACAGCATCTACCACTAAATAATAAAGCCAGTCCAGTCCATAATTCTTACAGCTGTCTTTGGAGCCTCTGCAGGTTTTTTCTGTTTAGTATCTGTTTCCATTTCCATAGATTCTTCACTTGAATCCTCTTCCTCATCGTCATCATCCTCATCACTTTCTTCACCATTTTCTATTAAAATATGGATAAGATGATATTGAAGTAAGACCAAAGTAACGTGGTTGCATACTAACAAGCTAACTGTTAGCTTTTCCTGAATTCTTTGGCATGAAACAGTAAGGGTGCTACACTTCTCTGGAATGAAATCTGAGTCCATGGCCAATTATGCTCATTGTTGGAATGCACACTCTACTCCTTGGTGGAAAGAAACAGTCAAAATTGCAAATTGTCCAACCCAAGAGCTGAACAAATTGACCTGGTCCATTTACATCCTAATATCAGCATAATTATACACTCTCTAAATTTCCCAAGTAGCTAACAAGGAGAATTTGTTAAACAATCAAAGAGCTTCTTCACTTGGTGATCATTATTATCATTATTATTATTATTATTATTACCATTATTATTATGGCATTTATGTGCAATTCTGGGGTGATTTTGTAAGGAGAAATAATTACATGCTAGACACTGAGGAGTCAAAGCTTAAAATACAATCGTCCAATCCCAAGTCAAATAAGATAACCATCACATCTAGATAATGCGTAGCACAGAACCACATCCCAAGACTAACAAAATAAGTTCTTTGAAAGCAAAGCAACATCAAATGCTATAAAAAGATGAACAATTAAGAGAAAGAGTAAACAAACCAGCTTCAACACGTGCAATCTTCATTGGTGGTCCCTTGGATGTTATTAATGGTCTCTTCTGACAAAATTGAAAAAAAAAAAAAAAAAAAGGAAAGAAACTCAATCATTAGTAAGAACATAATGGTTAAAATGTTGTTTACTCCTGTATATTTACCTTCGAAGACTTCTTAGCTTCTGATAAAACTAAATCAGATTCATCATTTTCATCTGTAAACGAAAAAAAAATTAATCAATACCAAGCACTAACTTGTTGAAGGGATAAAACACAAAAGCCAACAAAGGAAAGACTATTACTATTTTCCTAAAGGTTTAAAAATACATTTAGACAGCAACATCTAATACCTTGGTCACTATCTTCTTCATCTTCATCCCCTACAAACAGTTCTGCAAAATTTAAGTAAAAGGTAGAAAACATCTTTGAAGGCTACCAAGGCTTTCTTGAGCATGACACTGCTATGATTATGTGTGCATTTAGAATATTAGCATTAGAAGGGGAAGGTTTTCTAAATACACTTATAAGTTGATCTAGATTCAATTAATCAAAGCAACTTTGATTAAAAAAAATTAAAATAATGGGAATGAAAATTACAATGTACTTGGCTACTTGTTAAGAGCATCTCACCTTGATATACAGAACCAGTCAAGTGAATTGGTCCTGAACCTAAAGGAAAATTTCAAGGCTCTTGTTAGTCAGGATATGACTGAATGGGATAAAAAGTCAAATAAGTTTAGAATAATGGAAGTTGAATAAGCAGATAGAATAGCCCATCTTGTTTTGGTTCCAGTATATTTTAAAGTGGGAACTGATGGTGCTCATGAATGAAGAATTTCGAATCCAAACTTTGTCAAAAAAAATATTTAGGTTGATCTCCTTCAGCTTGAGCCAACAATTCTTGAGAGTAATAAAAAGATTAATTTTACTGCTCTGGTACATCAAACAAACCATGTGCATAAAAAAAAAAAAATGAAAAGTACACTACTGACAAAGAATCTTACCTTCTATAAGTTTAAAAACAACTGAGGCTGGAAATGCCAGACTAAGTCTACTCTATAAATAAAATAAATAAGAAAATAAATTGTTGTTTATCTTAGGGCTGTTTAATATTCAAACTCAGAACAATATCAAACCTTCTTGAATCTCAATAACTGAAGGCTGCAAGTGAGGTTTTTATTCAGGAATACGGTGTTAACACATCAGAAAATTAAACACACATATAGTGCATGCAATCAAAGTTTAGAGAAAGAAATATTTTAATTCAAATGCCAAATAAACACAGGAATGAGGATCATCCATTCTACCATTAGTGCACATGTTCAATTTTCATTGAATCACAATGAATACTAATCAAAATAAGTTCATTTAGTGGACAATCAATGCAGAATACACAACAAATTTCAAAGGAAATGATCTTACAATTCAGAATACCAAAGAAGAAAGAAAAAGCACAAGGAAAAACAAGTTCTTAACATTTACCTGGTCTTTTCTTCCGGAAGTTAGTGATAGAATTGTGTATGTCACTGAGTTATCACTGCTGTCTGTTGTGGTGACTTGTACAAGATTTCTTTCATTATTTTTGGCTTTTGCACCAAGACAGGCCTGAAAAAAAAAAACAAAAACAAAAACAAAAACAAAAACAGATGAAAGCTCTGATTAGGATTCATCAACAGTAATGAGAATAAATTGGAAAACTCTCAGTTACACTTCTTGCAATTCATGTAGATTGTTATGATGACACTTTTACTCAATAAGTGCAGTAGTTAGAGGGGAGAATCACGATGAGATCTCAGGAATTACAAGGTTAAAACTAGAAAGCTCCTATCAACCCACAGTAAGTGTACGGTACTGGTGATTCAAAAAATTTTTAGTCCTGCAAAGGGTTTGCCATAACGCAAATCAAATTTTAGCAAAACACCAATACGTATTCACCTGCTGAGCCATAAATATAAAGATATAGTACATCAGCCTAGTGCAGAGTGTGCAGTTGTTCCAAAACTCAATGTTTGCTTGCTCACAGTAAGTCCGAGTTCTATTTTTGCAGATTGCTTCAAGTCGATCTCTACAGCTGAAAGCAAGGCCAGCTAAGTGCTTTCTGAAAATATCAACCGCCTCCACTTCGGTTGGAAATCTAACTTTCTCTTTTAATTCCCATGAAATAGGACCACTTAGGTATTTAAACGCTTGAAAATAAACACATGCACGTGTTATGATAATTAACTTGTACCTGGGATACAACAAGCTTCTGATCGATGTCTGCTTTGCCGAGTTCTTCATCCTCGGAATCCCACTTATGTTCTCTCTTATCTTTACTTAATTCACAACCTACAAAAGATCTGAGGTAAAACATACTGCACTGAACGCCGAAACGCTTCAGGAAAGACATCTTACCCCAGAAGTACTCCTTCTCCATCGACGCCATCTTGTCAAAAGAACGATTAGTTGCACGTGGTCATGTATAACAGGCGCATACACTGTAACAACTCAACCGCTGTCTGATTATAGGCACGCAGAGCATACCAGTGAGAGTAATCGCAACCCATGCACCCAACATAGCCCACTGAAACTGCGTTTTTCTAGAGTACTTTGACGACGCGGTTTTGATAAAGTAATGGAGCCTTTATGCTTTCGAATACAAGTAACACCTAAGACGTAGGTGGCAACAGAACCTAGAGGATACCTTACACTCGTGAAAGCTATTCAAACTAAGGTAACCCTAAATGGCATGGAGTTGAGTCGCTTTAATCTGAAGTGTAGAGATTTTCAAAATAGTCTCAAATGGGCGTAACGAAGTAGTGTTAAGTCAGTGTTAAGTCGCGAAGGATTTTCAAGCGAACCGCAAGAGGGTTTAGACCTATCAGTCTTATCGACTCCAAATCAATTTTGAAGAGGAAGGGAGAACACTAAATGATTGTGTCAATTGAGCTGATATCGTAGTGCAAATTTTACCAACTTAGCATAACTTTCAGAAACGAGGTCTGAAAGCGGGCGTGGAAAAGAAAACTTGTTATCTGTATTGGACGTTTTTTCTTTTTTTTTTTTCTTTTTTTTTTTTTTAACAAAGAGATGTGTGGGGAGTAGGCACACCCACATCACCAGGTGCAAATGTTTCAAATTGCGCCTGGGCTACAAGTGGGCTACACGTTAGTTAGTCCAGTGAGCTGAAATGAAGGCGACTATGGTGACTATGGCAACTATGGCCGACGATGTAAACCATAAGAAGCAAAGTTTGGAGATCGTTAGACAAGACACTTCATTTTTGCCTCGTAAAACTAGAAATTATGTTCATCTTTTCGGTTTGTTTGTTTTTGCTGTCGTTGATGTTTGTTGCTATCAGTGTTGTTGTAGTCGCCTTGTAGCACCACTTCACTTTGTCCGTATGTTGAAAGGGACAAAGCTTATCTTGCTGCTGACAAAACATAACATAACATAACACAACATAAAACCTTTATTAACACACGATAAGAATTAAAGCTGACAAGCTTGTGGGGCCGTGTATACCTAACTACGTCACAAAATATATACATGTAAATGTTTAATAAAAACTAACTAAAAAAACTTAAAAACTTAAAAGTACACATAGTCGCTGACTCTGTGTCTCAACGTGGAGATTGCTGTGCCGTCAAAGATAAAATCTTCCAAATAATCCCTGGCAGTAAGCCGTTTCTTTATTCCTTGAAGTTTACATTAGTTATTTTTTTCATTGAAGTTCACCAGATTCCATAATATAGGCCCTCGATAGGCTAATGAGTCTTTCATAAATCTGCTTTGGTGCCTGCAGATAGCCGCTACCTCGTGCCCTCTCAGTGAGTAATAGTTGTCTCGTTTACTAAAAATATTTCCACATAAACTGTCAGGTACAATATTCTTGTATGCGTTGTACGTTTATTTAAATATTTCCAGTTTGTAACTTAATCTAATTGTTGACCAGTTCACGATTTTCATTACTTCGCTGGATGCCATGTCTTTAGATAAATCAAAAATAATCCTGGCGACCCTACAGTGGAATCTACCCTTTGAATAAATTAACTCAGAATTCCAACACGATCCCCATAAAACAAGGCCATTATTTATAGATGGTAAAATACCACTAAAATAGAATTTCTTTAAAACATCTTTTGGTGAAAATCTAGAGCGTTTTAGTAATTCTAATTTGTTCGCAAGGTTTTTCTTAAGGTCCAATACATGCGGTGTCCAAGTGAGGTTGTGATCTACTGTTATTCCCAATAATCGAGTTTTTGCAACGTAACGCAGTGCAGAGTCCCCTCGAAGCAGCGCTGGTAGAGGACCCATAATGGTTTTCTTGCTAATTATCGCTTTTGCCTGGGTGTGGTGTTAATCGATTTACTAAGCACCATCTATAGACTTACAAAACAGACGTAACGCGAGCATATATCATTTATCCGCTCACGCTCTGGTCTCTTATCCAGTTGTCAGCCGGGGCAGTCAACCTAAAGCAACTGTTTCCTTTATTAGCCAGTTCAGTGCGCTTGTACGGCCTTGTTCTCTTAGAGCTGATCCAACCTTTTCAGCACATAAGCCGTGATACCAATTGATCCAGTCGATCTTGTAAGAAGAAAAGGAAACACAATCATTTGTTGGTATGATAACATTAAACCGCTGTTTATCACTCACGTTGGGGAAACACGAGAGCACAAAAGATATCCTGTCATTACCCTGGGAAACCGATTAAGAAAAATGAGATTTATTTGTTGTCACATTCATACGGAGACCACAACACCAAATTTTAGGGCTAAAGTCTTCGAAATACGTGGTGTAGCTGCAGCAATCAAGATAAGCGCATGCTTTAGGTCCACAGCAAAAGGCAACACGCGCGACCACAACACACAAGTGCAAGGTTATCTCCGCAGTGAACGAGATGAAAATTCAAAGAATAACGCCTCCATTAGCCCATCCAACCTCTTCTGTTGTTAACATGGACGGCATCAGAAGCTTGGTTTGGATTGGAAACTACGGAAAAAACATATGTCAGATTTTAGCCGATTTGATGCAAATTATCATACAATACTGTTACAATTAACAAACATGAGCACACAGAAAAAGTAAAGTTTAAGAGCATACTCTGGAGGGGAAACTCGTTATTCTAAACAGGGGTGACAAAAAGATCTTATCTTTTGGGGACGGGAGAGTTATCGTGAGGAACGTCTCTAATTTTGCATCTTAAATTCTCTGACGTGTAACCATTACACGATTAAAAAAATAAGTTGTCATTTTACAATATGGCAAAGAACTTGAATACATATATCAAGGATCGAAAAAAGATGTCAAGGAGGTTCAACTTGCCAACGGTACGAAACGAAATACTGATCGTAAAGACTTTTATACAAGGCACGGACACGTTGAAAAATTCTATTAAATAGCTTAATATACATTGCTAGTGTTTTGTTGTTCTTTTGTTGTTGTTGCTTTTGCTTTACTACGAGTGTAAGTTACAAAGGGCAATATTCTGAAGAACATAAATTCTAAACCAAAACCTACCAGAGTTATCGGCTCAAAGCCTAGGTACCCTCTGTTTTTAAAATTATTCTGTGAAGAGATAACCAAAGTTAGTTTCTCACGGAAATTAAAAGAAACTGTAAAGTTAAATTCATTCGGTTGAAGAAACACTCAGTTGACTGTCCCTTCCCTTTTCTGAAATCGGTTATCGGGTGATAGTTGCCGGATCATTTACGGTAGAGCACTTTTCGAGCTTTTTCCTTTCCTTTTTTTTTGTATTTTTTACCTGTAGTTCAACTGGTTTTACAAGCAACACATTTTCAATGCGGATTCCAAAAGCACCGTCTTCGTAATATCCCGGCTCTAAAGATAAAAACAAATGACAACATAATCATCAAAGGCACTCAATGTCGTAAACTCCAGAACTTTTCAGGTCTGAAAATTGATTTGAATTGTAAAATTCTGCGTTTTTTTTTTCCAGGCTTTTTAAAACCTGTAAAAACCGTGCAGAGTAACTGTCACTGAATGAAATTGATTGGCCTGACCCTAAATTCTCGCAACAATCGCGTACCGTATAGAAATATTAAGTGACTGATAAGGGGAATGTACATTTTGAGCAGGGAACTAAAAGCCTTACCGTCAGTAACCATCATGCCGGCTTCTAAGGGAGCCTCATTCTCTCTGCTCCGGAATCCGATCCCCTGGGGACCTAGACATAGGACCATGACAACATAAAGATCGCATCAATTCAGCCCGATGGAGATTTATTTCTTAGTTCTGGAAAGAGAATATTTGTTTTGTAAGGTAGACTTTAAATTTGGCTTTGTCAAGATGATGAGAGATTTGAAGACGGCAACTGATCGATAAAGGGATGTTTTCTCCTTGCTAGATATGGTTTTTGACATAGTTTGATAAAAACAGGCTCATCTTGATCCCCATCTGCAATAGTAGTTTCTTCGTTGCATATTATATTAACAAAATCACATTTTTCTACGTCGTAAAATCGGCGTTCTCTTTTGGCGCTTTTCTCCTTTCTTGCGCCATTTTGAATGCACGAACACGTGAGCATGCGTGGTAAGCTCTTGGTCCCCAACCTCCCTGTGTATCGGTCGCTAAATCAGTATTTGAGCGCCAGTGTGTGGAATCCCTTTATCGGACTTATTTAGTTGTCGATCACAAATAGTTGTCGACAACTAAATCCCTAGTCTGTGGAGGGCCTAAGACTTCCTAGTAATAGGCTAATGGGGATGTTCCGCTGGATGGGGTCGCATTTTCACGACTGGATGGACTCTATTGGGTTGCATTTTCAGTAGACTTACAACAAGGAGGTCGCACAAGTTCGGGATCATGGAGGTAAGAAAATTCTGGTAACTAAAGATTTTAAATTGGGAAGATTCGCTCTTAAAAAGTTGTTTCGGTATTACCAAGAATAACTATAATTGGTCAAAGAATAGGTTAAAACAAGGTAGGGATTCTAAGAGGCCTGCGTCACATATCCAGCAAAATTTGGCCCAAGTACCCTCCTCGGGCTGAAACACTAGCACGCATGCAGGCACCTCGGTACATATAACTTTACCTCCATCAATTTTTTGGAGACCATTCCTTACATCATTGCACACATTCGTCACTCACACACGCCCTCTCCTTGCAAGTTCGCGTGCTTGCTAGCGCCGCATGTGCAACATACCTTCATGTACATTTAAAAACGAGCCAATCCCATGCCCTGTACCATGCAGGTAATCCAATCCAGCATCCCACAAGGCCATGCGGGCTAAAGTGTCTAATCTATGACCTAAGATAAGCAAGGCAGAAGGAAAAAAATTACCCAGCGAACTACAACTTACCCAATAAAAAGGAGTGGGGTGAGTGCAACAGCTTTTAGAGTGACATCCGTAACAAAAAGCGTAAAAATAGATAGCCTGTCTGCTAAACACTACACAAACATTGGTCTCTGGCCTTTGGTACTGTTTTACGAGCGCATTACCTGTGGTTTTGTTTGGAAAGACAGCTCTTGCCAATGCAATGTGTCCCTTCAGAACACGAGTGAAACATTCCTTAAGATAAACAGAAGTATAACTGTATGACATTTATTAAGAATATATATTTAATACCTGTGCCAAATGATTAATCTTAAATTTGTTGGGAGGAATTCCCAGTTTTATTTCACGTCTAAAACATGGCCGAGATTGGTTTGGGTCTCAGTCTTAGCTTTCGCGAGTGTTTCAGCGTTGATTTCCTTAACATGGGTTATGCCGGGTATGGCATTCTAGCCTTCCATCTTACCTTGTGGACAATTTAAAACAGATACAAAGAAGAGCTTTCAGGATAATCGAACCACTAATTTCTTACAGAACTGCATGTAATGTTTTGAATTACCCCACACTGGAAGAAAATAGGGAACGTCTTTGCCTCGAACAGTTCAAGAAAATTAAAAACTCACAGTTGTCATCATTAATTCCACAGAAAAGACTAGATGCACACGGCCGCCAGCTGCGCTCCAGCAATAACTTGACTCTTTTTAAATGTAGGACAAAACGATTTCAAATAAGTTTTTTTCCCGCAATGACGTCAAAGCTTAATGAATTATCGCAATAGACTTATATCACATTTTATAATAATTTGTTAATAGAATCTTGTGAGCCAGTAACCCAGTCCCCTGGCAAAATTTTTATTTATACAGTCTCATTTAATTTGTAAATATTTTTTGTAATTTCTTGTAAATATGAAGTATTTCATTTTAGTGCCGAATTCATATCTAATAAACCATTACCATTGCCATGATTAAAAAAAGAGAAATAAAAAACCTGGAAGGCTCCGTTATGGTTTGAAAAGGGAAACACTATTTATACCCAAACCTTATCGTTGGAGGAGTCTTCGGACCAATGTCACTATCTACGTCAGTCTTTAAGCAGCTGCGCACTTACCCCTCCCCTATTGTTGGGTTTGGGGAATTAGGGTAGGTACGCAGTTGCTCAAAAATTGGCATTGATCCGAGTTTTCAAACGCGGTTCGTGTGACGTCATGTAAATAGCTACGTGACGCTCTGCCATGTCTTCGCCGTGTTTAATTAAACAGGGAGATGTTGTTGGCATAAAGACTGTTTATCGTCTTTAATTTTCTCCTTATTTACGCTCTTGGACAGCGTAACACACAGTTTGCTTCCAGATTTAACGGAGCTTATCTCAAGTTTTAGGGCGGGAAACGCCAAGTCTCGCGCACAACCCGGCGTCCAACCTTCTCCAGTAGACAACTGCATCCCACACAAAGGTCTAGCAGTTGACCCATATCTAAATCTGTGTTTAACCGATGAAAATACTATGAGTGCCGATTTCTTCTCAATTCCCCAAAAAACTTACCCGCTCCCGCTTTGAAGGGACCCCAAAATGCCACGTGCGAGTAACATCAGTGGTGCCATCCCTAAGGAAAAAATTTAGGTACAATAAATATCCAGGATAGCAACAAAGAATAGTTCTTAAGGTAATGACAAACCGTTAACTTTGAGGTGATTAGTCGGCCTTGTTTCTCAGAGAAAATTTGGTTGTATTGACTGAGTTGATAGTGCGTTAGCGCTCCCTTATGGGACGCTGGCAAGTTATTTATACAGGGTGCTACATTGGTAACCGTTTAATTCATTAAGATCACGAGAATAAAGGAAATGATAGACAACCTTGGAAGCTTAAATTGTTTAACAAATTCTCCTTGTCAGCACCAAAGGAAATGTATAGAAAAAGGTATGGAGAATATGGACACTGATGTTAACAGTTTCCTCTTTAGGGACAGTACACTCAATTGAAATGCGCTCTAATCAGATCTGAATAAAGTGACATTTACTTAAACTGAGCTCCAGAGTCGCATAAGTACAACTCTTCGTTGGAAATCATACGGTCCGTTTCTTCAGCCGGTCTGAAAACAGAAGGAAAAAAAAGTAATGTGCTGACCTGATTCAATTCTGTCAAAAGTTATCAAAGATCCCTGTTGATAAGATAGCGAAGTGTACCGACCCAATGGCATGCTACCGAAAAATCCGAAATCATTGACAAATTTACTGTAGTAATAAGTGACGTGGCAGGAAACCCGACAACTCTTTTTGCCATAGGTTAGAAACCGGTCATCATTTGTCAACTGAGGAGGGGGGAGGTCGGAATTTGGTTCACCTGATCCCCCTATAAGCTTTGTAGTGTTCTAATGATACCCCTTTCTTAGCAACTGGTACTTTTTTTTAGAACATAGTTAGCAGAGCCGCACAATCAAATTCAATATACGTAAGCGTGCTCAAAATCCCGATAGTGCGCGCTGATAGCGTCAGCAAATCGCTTCGACAGAATTTTTTTTTCGCACGAGCGGCCATTGTTAGCGCGGGGAAAAATAATATATTTCGCGACAATAATGGATACAAACAGAAACTCGGCCCAATACTCCCAAAACGAAAACAATTTTAGGACCTTTTCCCATGGGCTAGAGTTCTTAAATGAGGCAGAAAAAGGGAAAAGCAACGGAAAAGGAGTCGGCATCAGCGCCGTCACGGTTCGCTTCACTTGATACTGTTGTCTATTTTTCGCGTCGTTTGATACACAATTCCACCGGCTATTTCTAAAACAATTGGCTTATGCTTTTAGCTGTGCACTATCGCGTTATGGAGCACGTGGGAAGTTTGGAGAGCACGAAAGAAGCGTAAGACTGAGTTGCCCGAGGCAAGAGTCTTGAACCAATTGTTAATTAATCGCCACCCCCTTTAAAGTATGTTAGAGACGACTGATCCCCCTCCATCCCAAAACGAAAACAATTTTAGGACCTTTTCCCATGGGCTAGAGTTCTTAAATGAGGCAGAAAAAGGGAAAAGCAACGGAAAAGGAGACTCGGCATCAGCGCCGTCACGGTTCGCTTCACTTGATACTGTTGTCTATTTTTCGCGTCGGATTTGATACACAATTTCACCGGCTATTTCTAAAACAATTGGCTCATGCTTTTAGCTGTGCACTATCGAGTTATGGAGCACGTGGGAAGTTTGGAGAGCGCGAAAGAAGCGTAAGATTGAGTTGCCCGAGGCAATAGTCTTGAACCAATCGTTAATTAATCGCCACCCCCTTTAAACTATGTCAGAGACGACTGATCCCCCTCCTTTGCCCCTGACAGCCACGTGCCCCCAAAAAAAAAAAAAAATTCCCCCCACCCTTCTCCAAGCGAAAAATAATGACCGGTCTCTTATACGAAGGTTTCCTAGGATCTAACCTTTCTCAACGTTTAAGAACATTCAATCACTATCAACCGACTGACCTATAAATTAAACTTTCTATTTTGTCAAAACAAAAAAAAACAAAACAAAAAAAGATTGTGGATGGCGTGCCGGCGCGCATTCCAAACTGCAGCATCGTTGTTTTGATCCTTGTCTTTCGCCGGCTTTTCAGAAGTCAGTCACCTTTATTTCATAGTCATGACTACAATGACTGGCGAACACTTTGATTCAATATGGCATAATCCAATCAAATCGATGGTCAGTGATCAGATCATCAGCCATTCTATGAGACTGACAGTGCGCTGGATTTATCCATCGGCCAGCGGACACTAATCGTACTAGTTGTTCATTTTAAGCTATAGACTTTTAAAGTTCATGATACTTTAAATGACACTTAGTATGGCGTTTGATATATTTAGCTATATCTCAAAAGAAAAATAGCAATCTCTCGAAATTTAAATGAAGGCTGGAAATACCTGTAATGGATAATTGCTCCATTGGAACCCACAGCGGAGATTGTTTCAAAACTCAGGCTTACAAAATTTTCCTGCTCTCTGAAACAGAGAAATTTTAAATCTATTAGGTTAGGAATTGCCTTTGGGAACGACGTAAAACATGTCAAATGGTTCCTTGACAGGCCTGTCAATACAAAGCAAGAACATCATATAGCAAGAACATCATATCGAAAGAACACAGTCTGAAAACGTGAATTATCCACATATCACTTCTCCCTAACAACTGGTGGACGTTCTTGGAGGTAAGTGACACAAACTTGAGGCCATTAGTTAGCACAGTAACTTGTTGCTGGTTGTGGCTGGTACATCTCACCTTCTAAACCCTTCTAGTTTGGCTGCTCCTGTGACTTCTGTGAGGTCGTCTTTAGGAACCTGGACGATAAAAGTATCATTGTTATGAGAAATCAAACCCACTTCGATATTCTTTACTGATTGTAACCCAAAAGTAGTTGCTTCGATTTTTATGTTAAAAAAAACAAACAAACAAACAAACAAACAAACAAACAAACCAGCAGATGATACCCCTACCTCTTGTTCCAGCCAAGAGAAATACTCGCACAAAGCAACGGCATCTCTAATCTGCGCGACAGAAAAAGAAAACTAAAAATTAAAACCAGGGTAATCAAATTGACGTGATAAAATTGGCCAACTTAACTTTTGATTAAGTATCGTAAAAAAAAGAAACAAACGAAAAAAAAACAAACAAAAAAAACAAAAGTGAACACCCAGCCAATCAGAGGGCAAGAAAATACCTTAAAGAGCCAATGAAAACTCAAAGTAATTAAACACAAGTCAACTGCCTAAAACGCGGGTGACCGAGTCGTGATTTGGTTTTGCATACGATTGGTTGATAGAGTGGCGCGAGTTTTCTGGACCAATCAGAGCGAAGTAGGCAAAAACAATCCAATCCCGAATTACCTTCGACACTACTCTAATGCGACCTGTATTTTCCGGATTGTTTTTACGGATTGACTTTACGCTGTACCCATCTAAGAACGCGACTGTCCGTGGCGCAGTTTATCGACCAATCAAAGAGTACACTCAACAAAACCACGTAGAGTGTATACGGTCTACGTATGATGCACGATCCTTCGCAGTAGATAGCACTATTTCTGCAATAGCGAAATTCAGGCCTGTACGGGATTCGAACCACTGACCTCTGCGATACTAGTGCAGCGCTCTACCAATTGAGCTAACAAGCCAACTGGGAGCAGGCCGTTAAGTTGATTCGTAATAAACCCGTGATGATTAATCAGATACAATACATGAACTTCATATATCCATTGTATCTGTATACGGTCTATTTCATAAAACAGCTCAATTGGTAGAGCGCTGCACTAGTATCGCAGAGGTCAGTGGTTCGAATCCCGTACAGGCCTGATTTTTTTCAGGTCTGATTTTCGCTATTGCTTAAATAGCGCTATCTACTGCGAGGATCGTGCACCATATGTATCTACTACCGCAGTTCAAAATATATAAACTTCATATATTTCATTGTATCTGAAAAAAAACAAAAGTAAACACCCAGCCTATCAAAGGGCAAGAAAATACCCTAAAGAGCCAATGAAAACTCAAAGTAATTAAACACAATTCAACTGCCTAAAATGCGGGTGACCGAGTCGTGATTTGGTTTTGCATACGATTGGTTGATAGAGTGGCGCGAGTTTTCTGGACTAATCAGAGCGAAGTAGGCAAAAACAATTCAATCCCGAATTACCTTCGACACTACTCTAATGCGACCGGCATTTTCCGGATTGTTTTTACGGAGTGACCTTACGCTGTACCCATCTAATAACGTGACTGTCCGTGGCGCAGTTTATCGACCAACCAAAGAGTACACTCAAAAAAACCACGTAGAGTGTATACGATCTATTTCATAAAGCAAAGACAAGCAACATGACGACAAGAACAAATTAAGATATTCTCGATAACAATGCAGTTTTCCGTTGACCTCTTTGGTAGGTTTGGGAAGAAACTAAACATGGTTTCCCTGTCTCAATGAGCTGACTAAGATTTTTTACGCATCTAAAACGTTATAACTTACATTGCAAGTCAACTGACCTTATAAAAGCACACACTAGTTCATAGAGTAATATACTCACGTGAGCTTCACGCATGCCCTCAATTTCCACTGCATTCTTGACTGCTTTGCTACGAGCCAGTGGTGACGGATCAGAGATGAGTTGAGTCTAGAGGGATTAACATTGAGTACAGTAAGAGTGAAAAAATAAACATCCCAAAAATTAGTTGAACAGACTTCTTTCCAAACTGACATAAGATCAACCTTCTCTGAACAAATACCGATGTCAGAGGGTAAAGCTCTCTGTGGCAAAAAGTGATTTTTTTGGCCCCCTCTCTTGTCTTGTTTTTTTGTCTCCTTCACAAGACGTTGTTTCTGATGTCATGCAACTCTTTTGCAACTCTCTCTAAAAAGAGGAGTTAGGGAGTGTCGTGCGACATCCAAAGACTGGCCATAAAAGATGCTGACCTTTCTCAGCGACTATGCTCTCTGTTGGGCAGATATCTCTATGAAACACTTATCACAGTTTTACCCATTCACTCATTCAAGTAACAAATTCACTTCTCTAAAGACTAGCAATTCATTATGTCAACATTTTATCATTCTATTACCCTATGGACGAGCCTTACTAATGCAGCACTGGATGACAAACTAATCTACAAAAAAGACACAATAGTCAAGGCATTAGAATAACAAGTCCAATAATAACATGGTCCAAGAGGTGCATACTGATCTTGTACCCATGACTGGCACACAATAGAAATCTTGAGCTCATAGCCCAATTGTTAACACTTAAATCACTGGGAGTGAGTAGCATCTAATTTCTCCTAACAATATCACCCTGGAGACACAATAAGGTCACTGAGAAGAAAGGTAATCATCAACCTTGTTCCCAAGGTCTCATCTTCCCACCCCCACTCGCTCCTGGGGGCAGGAAGATGAGAGACCCTGGGAACGAGGTTGGGTTTAATGATCACCAACTAAAAGGGCTCTTGATTATTAAACAAACTGTCTCATTATCAGTACCCCAGGAAATGTATAGAGAACAGTACGGAGAATATGCATATTGATGTTATAGTATAAGGGGTTAAATATACCAACGATCATAAAATTTGTGTGGTTTCCCTCTGAAGAAACCAAGGATTAATGCTATGGCAGATAATAAAAATGGGCCACAGATCTCAAAAGAATCAGCCCAATCTCAATTAGAGCACATAATCAAAGATTAGCCATAAGAAAAATGCTGGTTAAAATCAAAAGCTCTTTTTCATACCCAAATCCTTGCTCCACTGCTAGCAGCCTCCTTGATAGCATCTGATATTCCCTCGTATGGATGCACAGTAACTTTAATCTGATTGTTGCCATTTACACTATCCAAGCCCAGGTGTTTAGATACAGCTTTGTCAAGTTTGGCATCATCAATGAACAAACTAGATGCAATAAAATACTTTGAATTCCTAGTGGTTTCCTTCAGCAATTATTTTCTTAACACAAAAATGAAAATAGGAAGTTCCTAGTGCCAACATGAAGAAATAAAGCAACTGTAAAGCTGTACTGACTTGGAGGAATCACGCAGTACCTGAAGGCTGGGATCCTTCTGCACTAATCAGGCAACCACTTTTGTTCACAAAATCATGATCAAGAGTCTGAAATGTTTTATTCTGAGCCAATACTTGATGTGTCCTACATGGTTATACAGCTGAACATTGATGTTCAAAGAAAAGTTAGGTTAAACATTCTACTAATCACCAAGGTTTCACTTTCACATTATCTAATACTCACCTAACTTCATCTTGAGTGATCATAGCATACGCAAAGAACACAGGATTAAAAGTCACATCAGCCCCTCGCAAGTTAAACAACCCTAAAAACAAAGTTAGCAGGAGCAGTTTACATGACAAAACTTTCATTTGCTAATGTACATCACAGTATTTGAGACACTGACTGAAAATATATGATGGGCTAGGTAACAAAATTACTAACATGCAATTTCGTCCAGGGCAGTTACCACTAATGCATCAGCCTTCTTCTTTTTCATTGTTCCACGTGCTTCCTTTACTTTTTGTTGCCAGGTTTTTCCTGAATTTAAGAAAAAAAATGTGATTCCCATTTAAAGTACACATTAAAACACTCCTTAACTCTAGTTATCATCAATGTACATACTCTTCATACCATTCTCTATGCATTTGCTTGAGTACTTGCTGACAAGGAGAATTTGTTTAACATTATCAAGAGCTTCTTTAGTTGGTGATCATTTTCTTTTAAATTATTCTTGTGATCCAATGCTGGATTCAAGGGTGATATTGTTTGCAGAAATTAGATGATAGTCAGTCTCTAAGCCAGGAGTCAATTAAGGAGTTAAATATTAAATGGTAATGCTTAAATAAATTGAAGGGTTAGATGTTCAGACTCTGCTATTAGAGCGTAGTGTGTGTAGATGACTTTCTCAAGATGAATTATCCCAGAATCTAGAAAAATGTAAAGAGAGCAAGTATTCCCATATTTTTTCAGTTTTTTTTTTCTTTTTGCACAACAGCTGTGACTGACCAGTGAATGAGATGTCCAATACCATCAGCCCCTCAGAGGGTGGGTCAGGTCGATTGTGATCTGCCCACACCAGATCAACCAGATTCTTCTCTGCATATACTAATGACAGCCCAGCTGCTAGTAGACTCTGTACAAGGAATAATGAAAAAAAATTGACATATTTTTCATATGAACTTGTTGCAATTCAGAAAAATTACTTTAACTCAGTCTGTAGACACCCTCTGGAGATGTTGGTCGATATGATACACTATGTTTAAATGGCCAATAGAACCAGAGCAGCTGAGGGGTGTTGACAGGCTCTCAAGGCATTCAAGGGCAAGTAAACCACCATATGCAGCCATCATTCCCTGTCCACTCTGCCAATGGCTCTTCAGGACTAGGATTGATCTTGCCAGCCACCTGAGCATCCCAGCATGGCAGATCTCCCCTTCCACCTTAATGACTAGTTGGTCTTCGTCAACCCTATAGACAGCTGAACAACACACAACAAGCAATAATGAACAACTATTCACCAAAGTGGAGGTGGTTAGTGGTGGATATTTACCGAGCCGCGAAGCCGCGAGGTAAATTTCCACCACTAACCACCGACACTGAGGTGAATAGTTGTTTTAGTATATACTAAAACAGTGAGATAATGTACACCACCGCTGTTAATTTGAGTGATTTCTCCGCTTATCACGGGTGCAAACCGGGACGCCATTTTTTCCCGAATTGCTCAGAGGTAAAGAGCAAAGGATATTCGGAGTTTGACTAGCCAATTAGAGTGCGCCTTCAATGCTATCCACTGTTTTAGTATATACTAATGACAATTAAAGATCTTGAGGACCATTCCCTGCTCAAAAGAGGCACCATGTGTACACTAATTCTATGCACAGGCACTGAAGCTGCTGTGCAATGGTAGATACTAGATAGATAGATAGATAGATAGATAGATAGATAGATAGATAGATAGAAACTTTATTAACATGTCAAAGAACCTTCTAGGTTGGGAGATATCCCATACTAATGTGGGGACACGAGTAAAATGGATAAACATTACTTACAAAGAATCTTACCTACTTAAGAATAAATTTAAGTCACATCATGCATGACAAAGAAATATGAAATGAATTAAGAATTACATAGAGTGCAGCCCCTGCAGCAATCATCTAATAGAGAGCTGGTAATAAATATTTGCTTGAAGCTCACCTGAGATATTTTGTGCCATTTTCCTAAAGTAAAACAAAACAAAGGCTTGTACTTATTATTATTAATATTAACTCTGATTAAATGTCCTCCATAACATATTTTACTCCTGAGTAGAGAGGGGAAAGTGTGAGGTCAGGGAAAGGATTTTGCCCAAGTATATAACACACTGACCTCACCAGGGCTTGAATGCCAACCAAACCTCTCATTCAAGAATTTAATTTACTCAACAAGGCCAGTAGTGCCATGACTCTAACACTCTTACTAATCTTTTGGAAGAAATTACATTTTATGAATCATCCTGAAAATCAACTCACCATGTGTAATAACCCATGGATCAACACCAATCTTTGAACCTCTAGGTAATTCCTAACAAGAGACAAGAAAAACAAATACAATGTATAAAACGGTTTAAGTCTAGTTCTGACCAGCCAGTTTAACTCGAAAGCAGTTAGTGCTTATTATGACACATTGGCCTCCCTGTACCAAAATATTTCTCATAATTTACATTCTCCCAAGAGATAATTATAGTTTCTACTCATGTATAACAGAGAAACATTCGCAGTAAATGGCTTGAACAGACTCCCCTAAACAGGTGTCAGCTACTACCAGCCCCATACAAACGACTCATTCACGAAATAAACATTACAAACGAACTGAACAGAATGACCTAACTTTACTGACGGATCGAAACAGACCAATCACGACCGACTTACACCACTAGAGTCTTACAGCCAATAACACCACGGCAAAACTGACCAATCATTTTACACGAATTGAAATAAGAACATTCTACTGACAACGACTATTCACTTGACTCCACTGATGATGACTTCCGCACAGGTTGTCGAAACATCAGTCACTACCACCGACAACAGTCCTTCTCGGGACTACACTCACCCGGACGATCACACTAAAATTTTCATAGAGGAACATTTATTTATCAGATTTGGTTTTTTCATAGTAGCCACAATTATTATAGCTTAAATTAAGGCCTTTGATAGAGTATATCCTCTTCAGCCTTCAATTTGCATTTTTTTATAACAAAAGCCATTGGCTATATTGCCTTGACCATTTGCTCAACCTCATCTGATAACATTGTCAATTATCAATGATCAGTAAATGTAATAATAATAAATACAATGGCTCTCTACCTGGATCAGCCAGTCTTCCTGAGTTGGAGTTTCAGATAACCCTGAAAATATCAGTAACAAATGACTCTCATCAACAATAAATACCAGCCCTTGGGATATTAAGCTTGGTGGAGCTGAGCAAAAAGTTTCCAAGGCAACCACATGCTAAGTGGTAACTAGTAATTATGAAACCAAAAACTGTAACAATGCTGCTAGATTTGTCAACATTTCATAAATTGGCCACATGAGATAGCCCCCCATCTTGTTTTATCCATGCAGTGCCATTGAGTCTAGTCAGTCCAAATAGAAACCTAAAGAATACATGTAGTTAATCCTAATTTTGATAGAGGTTGTAGTCTTAAATTAGATGGTTCTGTAAATCGTGTTTCATGTATCGTGTGCTGTTCGGTCTACTAAAAGACCACTTTCATAAATGGCTACCAGATTAATATTCTTTTGTTTAAATTTAAATTAGCCCTACTGGCCTCGTTCTCCAGTACAAAATTTAAAAGAATCCATTATCTCAAGCGAGGCCAGAAGGGCTAATTTAAAATTTTAACAAAAGAATATTTATATGGCAGCCATTTATGAAAGTGGTCTATGGGAAATGTAAGAAACAGCTCTTGAGGAGTCACACCATAGTGTTATTTATAGATGCCATGAAGGAGCACATCTAGAGAGGATGTGAGGATCTCAATACACTAACTGAAGAATCATGGAATCATTGTATTACAATCAAGAGTCACATGACTTTTGAAATAAATGAGCTATTGATAACATATTGTAACATTACACACCATCTCTCATTAGTGTCCAGTTTAAATCCAGTTGCTTTTCTGCGTGTAGGTGATATCGTCCATCTGTCCAAAGTGCTGCCTTGGTTTCTGTAACAATCGCAGTTCCTGTGAAAAGTCCAATTGTTTCAACATCATCTTTATCCATTTGCTTTTCAAAGGCCACATGTGTGCACATTAATAAAGATTTTTAACTTTAACTGTGGATGATAAATATGTACAATAGTTACCAGATGAGTGTAGACTGCAGATTTCACATTCATCAGCATACATAAGCATACAAGTTAAACTTAATTCAGTCTATCCTTGTTCTAGAAAACGTGGCCAACTGTTTTAAATATTAAAAGTAATTGGGAACACTTTAAATTCTCCTCCTCTCCTAAGCATTATATAAATTATGTTGTAGTTCAATTTTATTCTTGGTTCAAATTTTATTTTCCTTTTTTTCAAACTCATAGCATCATACATTAACATGACCAAGAACAAAGGAAAATAAAATTTGAACCAAGGATAAAATTGAACCACAACATTATACATAATTACAATCCTATGCGGTTAATATGAGCTCTTTCCTCCACATTGTCATGATGAACAAAACTTTAATTTGCAAATTAAGTGTAACGATTGTGTGACTTGATGAAAAGGGTTATTCACTCCTCTTGTAATTCATACCCACTTGTACGATACTTCTCGTTTATCAACTCTTTGACTTCAAGAGTGTCAAACATCTCATTTCTCGTTACAATATCACCTCTAAATTAAACATGAAGGTTACAGGAATACACAAAAAATAGTAGTTCTTGATTGTTAAACTAATTCTGCTTGTCAGCACTATTCAAGAAATGTCTAGGGAACAGTGCGGAGAATATGCATACTGATGTTAATATGTAAAGGCTTAAACTTTCACTGTGTTTTCCTTGTTATCCTGAGGGTGGGGTAGGTACTGATTTAAAAGACCAAATGATATTCATACCTGCTGAGCCACTAAAGCCACTGATAAATTCTCTTCTCAAGTCACATGATGCTAGATATTCATTCTGCACAAAACAAATAATAAAATCAGAAGAGTAAACAACAACAGCAACAACAAAAAGAAAAAACAGGTCAATCTCAAACATCTACCCTCTCCTTTTTTCTTGCTAAAGATGGCAGACTTTGGTGAACTACCTGTTCTCTTTGTCTGTTTAGTATTTTTAACCTTGCCAACTTTTCTCATCACTTCTTGGAATTCAAAAGATAATTACAGAACAAAATATAGCGATAGATGAGTCTGCAGAGGAAGGCAGAACTCCACGAGATAACGTGCATGCAAAGGCTATTCCGTTTGGTACGAAAGAAAAAATCGCTAGTGCATCTGCCATAGTCTTAAGTAAGACCGATGTAGATTCATATTATTAATAAGTATTTTTTTTACAGCCACCACGAGTATCCAGGCCAGCGGAGTATTGTAAATATACCTGATGGGCATCTTCAGATGGGATAATGTAACCTTGAATCACTTCAGGTAAATGATGCTTATTCTTCATGAGAGACCTCAGTTGACGTAACAGATGTCCAGTTGGTTTACCCATGTTTTTACCAAAAAATTAATGTTCACAATGACAACAAAATTTGATTCTAAATGAGTGCGCTGTAGTTTCCGCGTTTGCACAGTTATGTTGAGGAAGATTAGGCACTAGTGTCTAGGAGCCCTCATTCAAACGAAAACGCCTGTTACGTTTTATGCTATGCCAATGTAGAATTTGGATTTACATTAGGGAGGAAAGTTCTGATTCCGTGCTTTTTACAAAGTCGATGAAATATGCCAGAATTTTCTCAAAAAAGAGTGACATTGCTTGCCAAAGGATGTACGGTTCACGTAGGAAAGGTTTGGTTCGGAATGTTTCAATACATATCCGCTAATTTATTACATGAAGTTTCGAAAATGATCGCGCGCGCGATTTCGCACGATTTGTACGTGATACCAGTTGATCCTCGCAAAATTCTTGCCTAACTTGATTTACAATTCTTTTTTCTCAACATACGTAAGCGGAGGATAAAGTGCAAGTTTTGGGTAGACGTCGGAAACATTTCTTTCAACTTTCCATCTTCTAAATTTGATCGATATACGATTCTCTCGAAATCTTGTAGATTTCTTTTATGGAGCCTGACGCACACTTTGGAAAAGTATCAAGGAGATTTTAAAAGATATTATTTAAAGAGGGTGGGGGGGGGAATACACCGTGTTCGTTTTCGTGTGGAGACACTAACAAATTCTCTGATCCTCTTTCATTTTACCCAATTCCTAAGCAAACCTAACTGTGTACAAAAGAAGGCTCTGTTTTACAATTTAACAGTTGATCTCATGCAGGGTCAGCATCAATTAGGCATCTGATTGCCCCTTTGGAAGAGATGTCAACAGTTTCAGATTTTTGAACCATGTTTTATTTAATTCATAGTCAAAACAACAAAGATAAAGAAAATGCATGACATGATTACAAATACACAAAGAATTAAGAAAATATCACAAAAGCACAAGAACATTTACATTACTCACAATTCTAGCCACTTGCTCTTCTGCCTGGTGTAGCAACGTTTCTCCTTTTATACCTTTGAAAATTAATGGTCGGTCCCACAAGGTTATTAACTAAACATTTTGCAGTGTGTGATATGTAAAACACTACAAGCAACCAACTGACTGGTGATTTGCATCTCTAGAAAACTTATTTTAACCCTTTGATCCATAACAGTGACTAGGGTCTAATTTCTCACCTTAATAGTCACCCCTAAATCACATCTTAATGTTATGCAAATCAACTATAGAAGCTCTTGATCGTCAAACACATTTTTCTTGACAGTACCATAACCCTTAAGCCCTAATAGTGACCATCATTTAATTTCTCCCAACAAAATCACTGCCTGATCAAATGTACAGATCATGGGAATGAATGAAATGATCACCAAATATGAAATGTCTTGATGTTTGAACAAAGTCTCTCAATCAGTGAAATAAGAAAGATAAGTAGAACATTTATGAGAATATACATGTTGATATCAGGGCTTAAAAGGGTTAGGAAATGTGTAGAGAACAGTATCAAGAACATGTATACTGATGTTATGGTGTTAAGGGTTTACTGAACTGTCTGATCACTTTTTGAAGAGATCTTTTTACATGGTTTTGATAAGATACCACAGATGCTTTTACTATGATGTATTTGCTGTGCGTCCTTTTCTGTAATGTATTGTTTTCCTTTTGAAAGGTCATATCTGTCCCTAGAACTCTCAGTGAATTACTCCTTGTTGCAAAACGAAAGCTTGGGCTCCCTGTGGCAACTAAAGTTTACACTGCCAAAGGAGGTCTGATTGATGATGTTAATTTAATTAGGTGAGAAGAGCAGATTGGTCTCTTTTACGTTTTCCTCAAAATAATGGTAATTTTCAATATGATTCTGGATGATGCAGATTATTCAAATCTTTCACCATGGCTATGACCGCATGTTCCTTTTTAACGTCACTGTTGTTAGAGTGTTTATCACCTACCTTCTGACAATTTCATTTCTTTATATCACACAGACAGACAATGTACAAACTTGTCATTTCAATGGTGTTATTTTAATGTGATATTTATTACAGTAACTAAATTTCAGAGGAATGTACATCAGCTGTTTAGGAAGAGTTAATCACTGTGTTAATAAGATCCTTAGAGTTTAGGAGCCCTAGGTCAATTAGAGATGAGAATATAATTTATTTGAAGACCAACCAAAAGAAATAGAATTCTATGGAGAACACCTTCTACTACATTGTTGCTACCTTTTGCATATACAGCTCACCTTTATTTGGTACAGATATTTGTGTCAGTTGACATGTGCCAAATGGTTCTCACTTGTTTGTTGTATATTTACAACTGTAGGTTATTTGACACAATGCCAGTCATTTACTCTTAAATAGAGGAGCAAAATTTATTTTTCCAGAGATGACGAAGTGCTTTACATTTCATCCGAGGATCTAGAACCAAATTCTCTTGCAATTGGGGAGAAATGTAAGTGGCAACTTAGATTCGCTGTGATGGAGTAGTCTGACCATCCTGGGGAACGTAATCCTGACAAGGAATGTTGTTAGAAATGGTGAATGAAGTTTCATTTTCAAGGCATTAACAAGCCCATGAAATTGAGCACTGTACTGACTTACTTGAGTTTGTTCCACTTAAACGTTGAGGAGAATAATTGGTTTAATAATTATACAGTCCACACAAGAACCAAAAAATTGTTGATCTGACTGTTTTTGTACCAAGAAGTGGTCATGAATTAAACTTTTGATGCCGGATTTTGTCATTGTGGCTGCCCAGAAGTGAATAGTTCTTGCTAGTCACTATTGAGCTAGCCAAACAGTGTGCCTAAAAAGCACTATTTGCCGGCTGTGTGGTATAGAACAACAGTATTTATCAGGGATTATTCTTATTGAATGTGGTGCTCTTTGTTCAGCCTTTACAGACTGGGTGACACTCAATGTGGGAGGCAGAGTATTCACAACAACTAGGTAATGAACATGATAGAGATTTTTGGATCAGTGTGACTCAGCAACTGAGCAACTACACACCCATTCCTCCCCTAACTCAACCACAGTCAAAACAAGTTAGGGTTAAAGTTGGGTGAGGGGAAGGGTACCTACAGGTAGGCAGTTGCTCAGGTACTCACAATGATCCAGATTTTTTATCCAGCAAAATAGTGAAACATGTAGTTGTATAGTCATAAGGAACTCAATTTATAAAGGTTAGCTAAGTCTATGGAATCTACTGAATATATAACTACAAAACAATAACAAAAACAACACCAAGTGCAGAGACTCTTGGGCTTCCAGTCCAGAACTTTGACTAAAGAAATATACCATACTTGTAAATGATTTTTCTAATTTTTTCTTATTTTTCAATTATCTATTAATTTTTTTTTTCCTTAAAAGGGCAACACTGATGAATGAACCTAATAGTATGTTAGCAAGAATGTTCTCCCCAGCAGGTTAGTCTGAAGACCAGGTCACAGATAATTATTAACTCAACATACTGTGTCACCCACTGAATAGAGGTTTATTCAGCTGATAGTGTTACCCACCCACCCCTCCGTTACAACCGTGGCTGGCGTGACTCTGCAAGTGAAGGGTTGATGCCTTATCATCTTTATTACGCAACTGTCCGTGAGTCAAATGTGGTAAATGGTTGTTTAAAATTAGGAGATAGTAAGCTAACACTATTCCATCTCAGCTAATTTGAAGCCTTTTCATTTACCATTTAACTCCCAAGATCTTATTGTTAATTCTTCCCTCTACAGCTGCCACACATTTCCTTGAAAATCATTACGAGAATTTGGTGTTAGATCAGGATAATTACTTCTACCTGACAAGTTTGAATATCCTCATTACCTGTTTGCTGGATAACGGATGGATAATGAAGGGAGTAGTTTTATGTTGATCAATTCTGGGGGTAATGGTGTAACGTTCTGGAGTTCTACAGTTCACTTACAGTTCGCTTACAGCTCCTTTAGTTGTTCGTTATCCTAGATTGTATCACCTCCGTTCTCACTTTACCGTGCATAATAAATACTCGAGTAAATGTCTCCTGGGGCCTTGGGCGTGAACTTGGAGGCCTGGACACTACAAATGGGTTAACAGTGCATTATGTACAGTTAAGAATTATCTTTTCTTTTACAGAGGCTTGGAGTAATGTTTCAGATGCCTCAGGAGCTGTCCTCATTGACAGAAGTCCAGTGTACTTTGAGCCAATCATAAATTATTTACGACATGGGCAGCTCATACTAGACAAGGAAGTCAATCCTCAAGGTACAGCAAATGTAGTATGATAAAGAGTGTCATTGTTACTACAGGGCATCATTTAAACCAGCTCTAAAGCTGGTTTGAGCCAGCCTGTCATTGTTTATACAGGTCCCCATTTAAACCAGCTGTAAAGCTGAACTGGGCCCGAGCCTGTCTAACCATCCCAAATGTATAAATGAGTAAATAGCCTTTATAAACAAATTAGGACAAATCCAACATACATGGCACCACTCAACCATTCGGTCTTCATGCGAGGGAAACAGAAGGAATAATCTTGCAATTATTCTGATGTTTTGTTTTATTTTATTTATTTTTTTTTTTATTCTATATGTAGGTGTCCTAGAGGAGGCAAAGTTTTTTGGAATCTCAGGCATCTTAGAACAATTAGAAGAGTTGGTAAAGGTATTAACCGTGAAAACTTTTTCGTCTTATTTTGTATACATTTATAGCATTGTTCATATATAGATCTCTTAAATACTTTATCAGAGGTTTTCAAATACAGCTACCAAAAGACCAAGAGAAAAGGGGTATAGGAAATGGAGAAACAATGCGTAAATGTTGAACCAAGTGGAAGAAAAATGTACAAAATAATGCAACAAAATATTTGTCCATGACAGCTTTCTCATATTCATCAGGCTTTGATTTTCAATCAGATGTAGCTTGTATGCATAGCTTAAATCTATAAGCAACTACTATTAATTATTAGTATAATTTCAGAGCTGAACAAAGAGTTTCCAGCAATCTGATTGGTCGAGCGGTTCCTTATATGACGCTATATAAACCGCTCCGCGCAGTTTATATAGAAATTAATGTTAAACTAAAATGTTAATAAATGTTACCAAAATGTTATGATTTTAGAAATTTCTCTGTTGTTCAGCTCTGAGATTCTACTAAAACAATTACATACATACATATATACATACATACATACATACATACATACATACATACATACATACATACATACATACATACATAAGAGTAGGGAACGTAGCTCCCGGTGTTGTGGCCTGGCCTTGTTATTGTTTGTGCAGATGCCCATTCAAACCAGCTTTAAGCTGAACTGGGCCAGCCTGTTCTGTTTAAGTGTTGCTTGGGATTATTTTCTTTTCTTTTGATTTTAGCATCATTTACTCTTATTTTTAATTTTTTCTTTAAATCTTTCTTTTTTGTCCAGTCAATCCTTATGGGAAAATCTTGAGTTTTACAAAGCGGAAGTACTAAGATGCAGCTGCTGTTGCCGTACATTAGGGGGGCATTGGGGTTTGCAGTTTTTCGGTTCTGGCTATTTTTTTAGATCGGTTTATCCGTTTTTGTGCCGAAAGACGTCAGGTTTCGGTTTTGTTGTTTATTGCATTTTGCGGATTTTCCGTTTCCAGCACTTGGTTTTCGGCTTTCGTCAAAACTTTTGATGGGTACTCGGCTTCGGTATCCGATGTGGTTTTTCCGTTTTTCATATTGGGGTTCCGGTTGCTCTTCGTTTTGGGAAGCAGTTATACACCTCTGCTGATCCCGAATAGCCGCGAAACCTATGTTGCTCCACTTGTAACCACAGTACCAAATCGATTATGATTTTAACAGCCGAGATGTGCAAATTTATCGATTTAGACGTTTTTGCATGCGGTTTTCGATTTTGATGGAATTTTTTGCGGTTTTCCAGTTTCTAATAGACCCCAATGCCCCCAATCACGCTCTGGAAATATGATACTAAAGATCTTAAGAGGACCTCAAACATGTGANTTAGAAGTAGTTTTAGTAATATGATCGTTGTATGTTAAGGACTGGTCGATGTAGACTCCAAGGTCCTTTGCTACAGGGACTGGTGTTATTTCCTTTCCCAAGAGTGAAATTGACGTTGGAGGCAATTTCCGCAGTAGTTGAGGAACACCAACTAGTAAGATTTTAGTTTTAGCTGGGTTTATTAGAAGGGAATTCTGACAGCTCCATCGGCAGATTTCACTCAAGTCTTCGTTCAGATAGCCAAATACGCGAGCGATGTCAGTTGAGCGAAAGGATAGGTATAATTTACAGTCATCAACGTAGCACACAGACTTGCAGTGGGTTGGAACGGACAATAGATCATTTACATAGATGGTAAATAACACGGGCCCAAGGATAGAACCCTGAGGAACTCCATATTTAAGAGGGAGCGGGTCTGAGATAGCATCCCCAATGCGCACTCTCTGGCTACGACCAGACAGGTAATTATGAAAACACTCCAAGCTCGATTATCCCTCGAAGAGGCAACACCTATACTCTGTAACTTCTGAAGGAGAATATCATATCTGATACTATCGAATGCCTTAGACATATCTAGTAGCACGACAACGGACACTTCACAATTATTCGCCTCAGGTTCGGTGAATACTGTCGAATCATCCCCGAGACGAAGTCGAGGGGATTATTCGACGATATTCACCTCGCCTTCGGCGAATAATTGTTAAATATAAATCATGACATTTTTATAGGCATGTATTCAGAGGTTAACTTTTAAGGAGAGCTTCATTTTCACCTTTCCTCCTTAAATAGTAAACTGGTTTCAACCAGTTCAGAACTGAAATACGGCATACAGCTGACCAGACATTGAACATGTTTGTTAATCCAATTCTGTTGTTGGTTACTTTATATAGCACTATTGACTAGGTATTCATTGACCAGAAATTTCTGTTTACATCTCCTAGGCTATGGAAAAAGTTGAAGATGCTCCCCTTTCTAGGAGCGAATTTGTTAAAATTCTTTTGTCAACACCGTCAAACTGCGAGCTTCGCTGTCAGGTAAGTAAGAATACACTTAACCACTTTTACCAGGTGATTATCCCTCTCGATGTACGAGTTTTCTATTATACCTAGAATTCTCGCCTTTTTTGTTCTGTAGGGAATCAATTTAGACTCGGCAGATCTCTCGAAGCTTGACCTGCGCTTTATAAACTTTAAAATGGCAAATCTTAGAAAAACAGACTTGGGGAATGCCAATCTATCCAATTGTTGTTTGGAGAGAGCGAATCTATCTGGAGCACACATGGATGTAAGTACACAATAATTTTAATTTGCATATGGAAGTTTATTGGTCGTGGAGATAAAATATTAAATTACACTTTTCATAAAACAGAAAATAAGATGCAATTGTGGTGTGGTGTGATGAGACGGTGATAATATTTTATGAATTAGGTGTCGAGGGAAATCCCGACTTGCTTTGGTTTACCTCTCTGTGGCAGCGCTTTGATTGGTTTTAAAAAAAAAATAACCAGGTGCAAAGATAAGGCCAGGTGTGTCCATTCGCTCTGACGAAGGACTAACGCTCGAAACGTCAGCTTTTAAGCTCTTTACGGTGGCTAATTTACAGTAACAACTCAGCTGATAAAACCAAATTCCCTTGTTACCCCCACCGACGCAGCACCACAGTTTCTTCAGAAACTTGCCCACTTTATTCATGTGTCCTAGCTACTCAACGGGCCCCCACCTTAGCTTAAGGTCTGGATCCGCCGTTGGCTACATGCGTATTGATAAAAGCGGGTGTCTCGAAAACACAGACCTCGAAAACGCGAACCGTAGACCTCAGAAAACGCAGACCTCGAAAAATTTGTTTTCGACATTTGGTGCCCTCAAAAAAGGATTATCAATTTTTTTTGGATGATTTTTAAAACAGCTGCACAGACGTTTTCAAAACGATGTAAATCATGTCGGTTCAAAGTTTTTGTCTATTAAGCTTTATTTCAACAACAACAACAACAATAAAAATATTTACGTGATCATGTTTTGAAATGGGAAGAGTCCTCAAAAAGCGCCGCTGCACCATTCTGGGAGGAAACTCCAACCTATCTATAGACCTACTAATATACACGCATAAAAGGAAAAAAAAAATCAGAAATGTATATACAGAAATTCAAAGAGTTAAAAATGTAGAAACCTTTAACTTAAAATCTGCCACGGATGATGCTTCTTCTTTAATATCCCGCGGGTTAGAACGTCCCGTTACGGCAAACACTCACTTCGTTACTTCGGATCGTACTTATGGAGGAAGTTAAGCGTCAGCGATCGGGAGAAAACATCTTTAAACGATTTTAAAAAAATCATAAAGAAACGAAACCTGACCGAATTGTTGAAAGACACCTGCGTGGACTGTGAAATCTGCTCATAAAATTAGATTTTAGCATTCTGGACAATTTTTTAGCCATCTAAAAGTATTATTAGTATGTAAACAAGGCTCTAGTTTTACATTTGAAATTTTACTCTAAATGTGTAAATAACTAGTATATTTATCTTTAAAATTCGTTAGGTTAAGTGACTAAGTAGTGTCCCCAATTAGTTTTTACACTTGTAAAGCTAAATATATTGACACTTGAATAAAGCTTTTCCTTTTTTTTTTTTCGTCTCGAATATCAAGAGGGAGACTTTTCCATTCCCCAACCATTCTCCTAATAAAGCTAAATTTAAATAAATTAGTCCAAGAAAAGCTGGTTAAAAGGTTTTGGAGTATCCATACGTCTCAATGCATATTCCCTGTCAATATCCCTTGAGAACCGAACCCTAGAATCAAGGGTCAGGCGAACATGATTATTAACCACCTATGAACAATATTATTAAACACCTATAAACAACATCCGCAATAAATCTCCTATCCTCTAAAGATAACAAGCGGAGTTCACGTAGCCTAACCAAATAATTGTCATGACTTTTATGAATAAATTTGGTTGCCCTTCTTTGAATTGACTCTATCCGACTAACGTTACTCTTCGTATAAGGGTTCCACACCTGAAAGGCATATTCAACCTTAGGTCTCATAAGAGTACAATACAGAGTCTTAAGAGTTGTGACATCATTGACATCCCGACGTGTTCTTTTGATGAGGCCTAAAATACTATTTGCCTTAGCTGTAATATTGGCAATATGGTAATTCCAAAAGAGAACATCACTAGTTAGCAAGCCCAGGTCTCTATGCAAAGAAACCGAATCGAGTTTAGTCCCATCAATATGATAATCGCAGGTTAAAGGGGACATCTTTTTGGTAATTGTCCTAACCTTGCATTTACTGTCCTCTGGTTACTCGAACTTCTGGTGGATTTTTAAAGCTTTATACTCAGATGTTATCTGGACACTTATGACATTCTTCTTCCTTCTTTGTTATTCAGTACTGCGATTAAGGAACATGTCATAACAACGATTTGAGTTGACTTAAAGCCTTAGTCACGCGAGGCATTGCGTGACGAATTTTCCCGCAATAGGATCATGTGAGACTGGCTTCTCAAAACCATGTGCTATCAAACAAACTCACAACATGGACACTGGTGTTGAACGCTTCTTCTTTTGAGCCCAACGTGGCTTTCAAGATACCTTTTCTCGATTCTCAGACTGCAGACCTCGAAAACGCAGAGAACCGTGGTTGTGAAGCGATTTTTTTTCGGCGAGGGAGACTCAAATCTGAAGATCGTAGCGAGGGAGGCGAAGATGTTGCAAAAGCTACGGCATCCTAAGGTTGTTGAATTTGTTGCTGTTTGTCCTATACCGGTTGCTATAAGAGGAGGGCTTTGGGATTTTCGGTTTTGCGGTTTTGACTGTTTTTCGGATCGGTTTTTCGGTTTTTGGGCTAAAAATGTTCGGTTTTTCGGTTTTGGTTTGCAGATTTTACGTGTTTTTGCATTCGGTTTTCGGTTTTCACAAAAACTCTGATGCGGTTTTCGGTTTTTCCTTTTTGACCCCTTTAAAGGTGAAAATGTAGCAGTTTTGTCAGGTTTGCATGCGGTTTTCGGTTTTCTGCCTTTTTTGGTCGGTTGCTTGGGTTTGGAGGTTTTTTTCTCCGGTTTTGCGGTTTCCCAGAGGCCCCTATGCCCCCCTCCTATAATGATGGAATACGAATGTTTTGATTTCCTGCCAGTCGTTCTTGATGTCCAGGTTTCAGATCTCCTCAAATTTTTGCATTGCCTCAATAGAATACAAGCAGGCGAAGCCTTTCAATGTTTTCTTACCGGTTTTTCCCAAGGCAGCGATTGATATCGCCGAGGGACTTCAATTTTTGCATTCAAGGTACACCGCGACTTGAAACCAGGGAATGTCTATCTCAGGAGCCCTATATGGTACTGTCCCGCGCTCAAGGTTGGACGTCTGCGCGTGATTTATCGTAGTAGTATTACTGAAGTAACCGAGAGCAACTTTTATCAAAATCTGTTAGTTTGCAGACCACTGGCTCAACACCAAACAAATCTTGAAATTGATCTTTGCCGAATTCCGGTCGCGCGCAATGCTTGTTACTGACCAAGTCTCCCTTGCCGAAAAATTGCTCGAGAAACCTCGAAAACAAATTTTTCGAGGTCTGCGTTTTCTAGGTGTGCGGTGTGCGGCCTACGGTCTGCCTTTCTGAGGTCTGTGCAGTGTGCGCAACCTAAAACTAATGAAATGTATCGCGCGTACAGAAAAACGACTCTAGGGAAGGGGGGTGGGGGTGGGGTGAAATGCAATTTCCTGAGACTATAAATGACCCACTTTGATACCTTCCTGATTTTTGTTTAGTCTTGCACTTTTTGGTGCTCGAGTTAAAGGAACCAAAAAGGAAAGAATTTACTTTCTCTCAACCCACATTACGTAATGTTATGTAAATGTGATGTACCTATCAACTCCGCAGTTTGAAAAATGTCGATACACGTATGATGTATTGATAAAAATTGATAAAATACGCCTTACTATATCGAAAAATACTAAGATCCTTTCAACAAAGGTTTAGATACCACTTTTCAAAGGATTTTTGTCTGTTTAAGTATTTTACCCTTCTGTCTAATAAACAATTTCGAAGTCGTATGGGACGGATGTTTATGTTAATTGAACCGCTATAAACCAGTTTGGGATAAATTCTTAATTTATCTCTTGTCTGGGCTCCACACGGAATTTACAGGTCAAGTATAATATGTTCTCTCAGTTTAAGGGCGTTTTTTTTTTTCTCCAATCTATCATCAGGGCTCTAATGAGTACTTCACAAATTCCCCTTTTGCACGAAAAGTATTAGGATCAGTTTTTCCCTTTTATCAAGCAGACGTAACGGAAATTGGCTTTTTTCACCGCACGCGCACGAGATCTGGACGAGAACATAAACACGAGCTTTAAAAATGTCAGAAAACAAAACTCTCTCACTGGTGCGTCATGACGTTTCAGTAGCTTTGGTCTGATTGGTTGAGCAATCATGTAGGTTTTCATTCTACGGCAATCAGTGTGCAAGTTTCCTCAAGAGTGTTCATGGTTTTGACACTTTTATTTGATTCCGCACAAGTAGTAAAGCGAACAGTGAAGGAGGCCATGGATTTGTCAACAAGAAACTTGTATTACAACTACTATTCACGGCAGGTTTTCGTTCAAGGACTGCTTTCATTATTCGTTATTGACCAGAAACTGGTGTGCAACCCAGCGGCTAAACGCAGTTAAATAAAATCTTTTCCATTCTTTTTTTCCATTGTCAAGGGAGCTATTTTAAGCTGCACTCGTCTTCAAAGGGCCCATATGGAAGGGGCCTCCCTCAGAGGGTGTAATTTTGAAGACCCTGCAGGAACAAGGGCTAATCTAGAAGGTACGAAGATAGCTGGTGCTCAAATTATTATTTTCCGTTGTCTGTTCCTTCGCTCGTGCCTTCACATCTACTGCCTTGTATTAATTCTTCAGGCGCTTCTGGCTGAAGAGGCAAGATGAGAAATCTCCATACAACAGAGCCCTACATAGCATGACTCACTGTTGGAATAATTTTCATCTCCAGGTGTGAACTTAAAAAATTCTGATCTAGAAGGAAGTCAGTTAGGGAATGTTAACCTTCGTGTTGCTACTTTAAAAGGCGCAAACCTTCAAAATTGTATATTGCGAGGAGCTGTACTGGCTGGAGCTGATCTAGAGGTGAGATTTAGTTTGTTACACTAAAGAAATAAGATGTTTTTTAAAAAATTAACCTATTGCGTTGGGCGTGTCTGTCAAAGGAAGCGGTCGGCGGGAACGTGACTTATGCGCCCGACAGAGATAAGACACGCGAGGAGTTCCTGCGTGCGTGACTACCCTTTCACTTTTTTCGTTAGCACGGGTGACTTACCGCTCGTGCGTACCACGCCAATTTACTTGCGACTGGTTGATCGAGCGTCTTCTACGTAAGCTTACTTTACTCAGGCTCATAAAGCACAACATTTGTTTGCTATACTCCTCTTCCCCTCTTCCTCTTTCCCCGCTGGTTTAATGTGTTTGAATTCTGACAGTTTATCGTACACAATATTATTCGTAGAACTGTAATTTAACCGGCTGCGATCTACAAGATGCTAATCTCCGAGGGGCCAATATCACCGGTGCTACGATTAAAGAAATTACAGGACCACTTCACATGACAGCTTTCGTTAGAAACCAGCTACCAGGCTCTGCGCTGTCTGTACCCCCAACGCCAGATTCCTGAAAGAGAGATTGCGTAACGACGGACAGCAAACGCGATGTCGTGGAATATAACTTCGTAAGATTGCTTTGGCGTAAAATGGTAAAAGAGGGATTATAACATAGCACGCGTGCTTGCCCCATCTCGGTCCTATTGAGCCGCTATGAACAAAATCTTTATTTACGCACGCCCGTACGTAACTTAGAGGACGTTATAATTTTTTTTTACCTGGCTGCAGAGTTGCCGTCCTCTTAAGGATACGGTAGACCTTCACGGGTGTCCTTAACAAACAAATTGTTACCACGCTATTTAAAACGTTACCACCATAAACTATATATCAATGGAAAGGTTATCAATTGCACTTTCCAGCAACAATTCTTTCATTTTAGCTTGATCTAATCGTAAGCCGACAGAGGCGCGACAAGCGGAAACGGAAGACGTTTCTTTGAGCTAATTAATCGGGTATCAAATCTACCCGCACAAGTAAAACTTCTGCACAGTTTCAATCGTAAGGGGTTGGTCTCCAAAACCACGTGGGGCTTTTTCGATGTTCCTATTGGTTGCTTTGCAATCTTTCTGTCAAGTTTGGTTATCAAAATTTTACCGATACGCGTTACTTCGGAGACCGTTGCGGGATATCAACAGGGCCGTAGCTAGCATGAGGCAAGACGAGGCAATTGCCTCGTCTTGATTTTGGCCTTTTTTTTAATTTTTTTCTTGAAGATTGACTTTTCTTAAGAAAATGCCACGAAAAATCATTAAAAGAGCATTTCTGAACCTCTAGATTTCAAAATTTTCTTGGGGGCATGCCCCTAGACCCCCCTAGCAGCTCGCGCCTTCGGCGCTCGAAAATTGTCGCGTCTTGTCCTGAAGTTTGGCTACGATAGTTTGGAAGATATGGAATGCCGGAATACCCGGAATTCCCGAAATGATCAAGAAATAATAAATTTAAAAAAAATAAAAGTAAATAAATGAATAAGAATATTGATGATTAAAAATTAATGGTAAATTTACAAGTTAATCAAATAATTTGATGCGAAGTTTATCTCTGAGGGTCCCGAAAAAAAAAAAAACACTTACCGGAACTATTCATGGAGATGCACGTATTAGAATTAAAAAAAGTCTGCGTCGGGCGAGTAGCCCATACAGCCTAAGCGACGAAATATTTGTACTCTCCCTCCCCCCTGGATGGGATGCTAGTCCATCACATGGTTACTCCCCGTTTTAAATTCGCCTCCACACGTTTACACACCTATAGGATATCTAGGGCGCAATGACCATTAAGCCGGCACGCTATTCCAGCCGGAACCATTGCAGAAGATTAAACAAATGCAATATTTCCAATTAGTTTAATAGTTTCAATTTTAAAAATCTCCGAATTATTACAAATTAATACTCTACCTTAAATAATTATTAACCACACTGGTGGCTATCAAGGCAGCTACCAGCGGTCTCCTGTTAAAATTGAGAGATCGTCAGTTACTCGACACCTTTTCGCGTTAATTATATATACCTTGAATATATGCCTTTGAATATAAACCTTGTACTGATGGATTCTTCTCAACAAGAAAAAGACAAAAAAGCACTTACTCCTCGGTTGTCTCTGGAGATGGTAAGTTTTTTTTCTTTCCAGTTACTTTTTTATGGTTGTGGTTTCACTTGAATGCTAAATTTGACCCACCACGTGGTCCGTTGTCTTTATTGGTGGTACTCCTAGCGATTCCGAAGTGTAAAGGCACTATTTATCAATTTTTTCTTAATATTTTTCTATTTGTAAACCACACAGAATCGAGTAGTTCAGAGAAAGAGCTGGAAAAAAGGTAATGGAAACCTTAATTAGAAGTATTTCTACCGTAGTTGTTAATGATAAAAAAATATGTTGAAAAGATATGTTTAGGTCGCTGGGTGAGAGTCTTTATGGAAAGATCAGTTATCTCACTCAGGTGAGGCCCGTCCACATACACTTTAAAAGGTGTTGGCGAGTCTACGCGACTCCTGTAATTCGCAAATAATTCCTCAAGCCTTCATATTTACTTTATCTCTTACTAATGTGTCTGTTGAGCCCGCTGCTTAGTGAATACGTCTTGCACGACAGTTCGCACAATAGTTTGGAAATGTTTGGAAATAGCTTGCACAGCACTTATTAGAAGCTATCACAAATGAAAAGCAAATGGATACAAGAGTACTCATCGGAAAAGATTTAATCCACCAATATATGCTAATGCTGTGCCCTAAAACAACAGTTATCGATTGTTAAAACTACGGGACCAAAGCGTCATATTCAGAGGTAGTAATTGTAGTCTCCCCGAGTCTCTTATCTCTTCGGCACACCATTAATACACAAGCGTGGATTAACTTAAAAGATATTTCCAGACAGAACAATAACAAAAAGTGAAATCAGTGTGTCGCTATCACACAAGACAGAACGTGATTTCTTTCCTTTCCAGACAAGAGAAACTTTTTTTGTTGTTAACAGTTTGTGGCAAATGAAATAGTTCCAATGGAAAAAGGTCGCTTGCCCCTGATTCAATTCCCTAGTCCGATAAGATCAGTATGTGATAACGATATAAGCTAACAAATGGACCGGTTAATTGATCCCATTACCGACACTGAAACCACAAGCGAAAAGTTGTCACCACCCAATCACTTATCTTACCAACTTGTCACACAATCTAACTTAAATTATCTCAACAATAAATGGCTTTTCACACTGTGGTCGCTCAAAGAATTCAGTTCGAAAAAACGTTTTTAAATAACTCGAGTACGTTTCAATATTTTAAAATAAAGGTTTAGAAATTGTAGTTAAAATAGTAATGCTTTGTTTGGGGTGAAAAAAGAGTTTTGGCAAAATTTGGCCCGCGAAGGTCTACCGTATCCTTAAGCTTCAGTGTAGTTTTCCTTCTCTTTAAAATATGGAAGGAACTAGCGAACAACTGCCCAATTTTTCTATCGGCATCGACTTTTCAAGGTCTGATCCAACTAGCAGCTAAAACAAAGCCGAAAAAAAACTCAGCAAGCGGTAGCGTGAACATTATTTTGAACAATCAAAACCCTTGATAACTTCACCCCCGGCTCTTTTAATGACACATTGGTTCATTTAGCTTTGATTCTCTCCATTTTTTCCGTTAATTTTGACGGCTTTTCATTCACAGCGGTTATCGGCTGAGCACAGGCCGCCCAAGCTCTCTTTGAGAACCACACAAGGAACACAATTTGCATATCGATTTATGAAGATTTGTTTGGGATTTTCTACAAGATAGCCATAGAGATAGTTAAAAGTGCAAATATTAAATAAAAATGGCTTACCTTATTCCATACGTGTGTTGCTTGCTCCTGGTGTCGTTATTTTACCGATTTCACTTGATTTTAGCGGTTTTTTTTAATCCTGGTCTTTTCTTTAAGAATGGAATAAGGTAAGCCATTTTTATTTAATATTTTCACTTTTAACTATCTCTATGGCTATCTTGTAGAAAATCCCATTCAAATCCTTATAAATCGATATGCAAATTGTGTTCCTTGTGTGGTTCTCAAAGAGAGCTTGGGCTGCCTGTGGGTTGAGTGGATCAAACCAAAGTATAAAATGTGGCGTGTTTTTGACCAGTCAAGAGGAACGATTGTTTACTTTTTTTGTGCGTTGTTAGAATTTTGCGCTCTATCACAATAAAAAAGTTCCTTCGCGCAGATCCTTGTTGTCGGAGACNGCTAAGTTTTGCACTCCAAGCATATGGCACATACACTGTACTTTCCTTTTTCCTGAGCTCCACTGATTTATTGATATTTTCTCGGTAGAAAGATTCTCATCCAGAATTTTTTTGCGATAAATTAATCAGTCGTGAAGCGCGGACGCTTTCTAAAAATGTAATCCATGAGACCGTTTCCGAGAAAAACCGGAAAGATTAATTATTCACAAAGAAAAGATCAAGCTTTCAACAACCAATAGGACACGAACACTTTTCAAGCTAAATTGCTTCAATTGACAAGCAAAGAAGGAAGAAATCAAAACAAAATATTCTCTCAAGTGCTCCATATAGTACTAAATGACTCACTATTTTTATGAAGTTCTGATGTCAGCCGTTAATGAAAGTACAGAATCCAGCTCTGTCTTGGCCATGAACAGATGTTGTTGACGGCATTTCAAAATTCTCGTTCCCAAACATAACTTGGACAACGTTAACAGAAAAATTGAAATCCCCCCTACTTGAAAAATATAAAAAATGATGAACACCACGTTGTAGACAGCGAGCAAGTGAGTTATATTAATGATGCCATGCTATCTAACTCACAGAATTACGGACGTGCCATCTAGTGTTTCTGTTGCATCTTAAACCTTACACTTAGGATTTCTAGACACCATGGCACTATCTACTGAATTTGCTCCTTTGCATCAAATACATATGCCCTTTAATTTACCAATCAGCGAGTAAGAAGTTTAATGATGCCAATGTATCCAACTCTCAGAGTCTCGGGCGTGCCACCTATTGTTACTGTTACAAGCTTACACACAGGAGTTCCAGACCATGGCATTATTAATTGAATTTGCCCATTTGGATCAAAATACCATTTTTTCTATTTCTAATGTACCAGTCATTATTCAAATAAGCAGTTTAATATTACCAAGGTGTTCAACTCACAGAATCTCGGGTGTGTCACCTTGTGTTTCTGTTGCATCTAAAATACATGGGTTAGGAGTTGTAGACACAATGGCATTATCACTAAAGCTTGCAACCAATCTCTTAAAAGCTTCCTTCAACACCTGCTCAAGAAAACGCAAATTGAGTAGAACGAATTATTGATTTTTGTAACAATCTGGACGGATGTTACAAGGAGGAACGGGGAACGGGGAACGGGGAACGGGGAGTGGGGGTAACCCACCAAAGAATTCAAAATGGCGGAGTAAACGATGTTTACAAAGACTGGTTTTATCGCTAGGTCGCCGCTTGCAGCGAAATTAAACGACTCGCTGTTATTTAACTATTGCCCAGGTGAAGCCACGAAGCCTAGTATTCCGAGGTGAGAATTCGAATTCAACGTTTCTGCGATGGCTGCCACCATTTGTTCTGACGTCTCTCTTTGTTTTTCCTTCTTGAAATCTGCATCTTTTGGCAGAGTTTGGGTATGTTGTTTGTTTGCATTGCCCAACAGCCTTTTTTGCAGGTAAGTAGTAAGGAGGTAATATCTTAGATTAACAGAAATGAGCTAGGAAACGTAATAACCAGCCTAGTTATTAAAATTACTACATGCAGATATCTGCTTACGTTACCGCAAAATAACATCAGGAACATATCCTTGTATCGACTCATAAACTTCCATGTAAACAATAGAGAAATCAAACATTGTCAGAACTTTTAATAACATTGAATTTAACAGGAAAACATCAGTTATGTCTTCAAGAATGTAGGTGTATGAATTCACATTCATGCTAGTGCTTACAATAATATTTACACTGCATTGATCATATTCAAGAGAAAGTGATTCCCGTAGTGGGCATGAAAGTCATTCAGCTGTTTGCTTTACAACATTATTGATATTAAACAACAACAAACATATGAAACATATGTATGAACTGCGGTTATGAAACGTATATGTGCACGATCCTTCGCAGTAAAGCACTATTTGAGCAATAGTGAAAATCAGACCTGAAAAAAATTTCAGGCCTGTACGGGATTCGAACCACTGACCTCTGCGATACTAGTGCAGCGCTCTACCAATTGAGCTAA